GCAAAGTGATTTGGGCCTTTGAAGCATGTCAAAACCTAGGTCAAAGTATCCCAGCGGCTCCTGTAGCTGTTACTGGCTGAGTGTAGGGTAACTTTTCTCCCTGGTGTATACTGTGAGACCTAAGACTATTTGAACAATTTGCAGAGTCTTACAGAAGAGGCCTTTCTGGGTTGGTGTTGAAGCTGGGCTGCTTCTTTAGTGTTCTGCACTGTGCACAGGAAGAGAGACAGCTCAGCACTCAGATGACACATCAGCTAGACTGGGGGAGACTTTCTGAACTGCTGTGTTTGCACTGAAGCTCTGCAGCTCCTGTAATATTGTTGGAGGCATAAAAGAGAGAAACTGGCCCTGGGGTGAAACTGATGCAATTCTCCTGCCTGCCCTGTCTCAATTCGTGCAGTATTGAAAGTAGCACCAAAGATGAAAGTAGCTTAGAGCTAAATAGTGTCAAAATCACTAAAATTATTTTGGGAGGAGTAAGGTCATTGGAGGAAGGATCACTTGTGCATTATGCATCAAATAGTTCTTAGAATATTGAGACGAGCTCTGACTCGATGCAATTCTCTGCTACATGCATGGGAAAGCTGTTTTCTTCCTTGCATTGCATAGGAAGGTGATCTCAGGAATTAACCTCCACTTACATTACATTTTTGTGAGACTAGACAAAGCAGGGGCTTTCACACTGCAGTCATCTATGCATGTTTCCCTACCCACGGGGCAAAAAAAAAGGATTTTCTGGGAGATCTAAGACTTTTCAAGCTTCATTTTCTACTGCTTTGTGAAATCTCATTCAGGTTGGCTGCTAGAAAACAGAGTCTGACAGATCATAGGAACAATCTGCTGTGGGATCGATTCCCAAATGCGTGTGGCCGCATCCCTGCTCTGATGGGGTGGGAGGCCAGCCATTCAACAGCATGCTTGCCTTGCATCGCAGCTGATCCACAGCTTGCACTTTGAAACTCTCTAAAGGTCAGCTTTACCTTAGGGTTCACAGCTTGTATCCTCTCTGTCTGGGTGGTTATTACGAAGATCTCCATGGAAATATTGGCTGGAGTTGCTTTGACCACATATAGCCCTTATCTTTTCTTTCTTGGAAGTTTATAGTCTTAAAGTGTGCTCAAGGAACAGCTTGAATAAGTAAAGACTGGAGTCTTGCTACGTATGTGGTTTGAAAGGCTTGTTTCTTCCCTCTGTGCTGACTGCACAATGCCAGCATTGCACACAGGAGCTGGCATCAAGTATTGGAACAAGAGAGGATCTTCCATATCCTGAAACCAGCGGTGTCCAAGGGTAATATCAAGGCTGATGGACAATGTATTGCAGGATGAAATGAGCAAATCGTTGAGAGATGTCAAAATGTTCATTTTTGTGTAGTTGTGGTGACTGAAATCAGGCGAAAAATGAAATTCACAGTTCTACTTCTAGGCAAATATCTTATGAAGCACAGCAAGTAAAGGAAGGAGGAAACTCAAAAGTCTGCTGAAGCAGAAAGGCAGGTGTCAGAGGGATTTTAATGTTATCCAAATTCATTTCATTTCCCAGTTGTTTTTAAACATTTGTAGGATGAAGCACTTAATTTCTTTGCCAAGCAGTACAAGGAAAAAAAACTCAAAAAAGCCACAAGTAAATGACAGCATCGTAAGTAGCTCATCCTCCAGAATGGACACTTCATGCAATTGGTCCATTTTCTGTTCATAGTCTTATTGAAACCATGTTGAAATAGAATTTTTTTTCTTTCTAAAAGGTTTTGCAGCACGTGACTGAAACTACATGGGGAGACAGGTTTGTGGCTGTTGAAAATCAAAGCAGAGACTTGGAATAGTTCCACTGCTTTTTGATTTGCGCCTCCCAAGCCTCATGCCTCCAAAGGGACATTTTTCTCAGTTTTGGGATGAATTGTGCCCGGTGCAGAGACACGGTGCTCTGTGGAAATGCATCTGTATTTCTGGAATGCCTCAAGAGAAGCATAGCTATGAATATCACTTTTTCCCAAACCAGAACTTGACAAACTTGTCTTCCAGAAGCTGCGCTCCTTTCTGGGCTATGGCCTTGCTTATGAGGCATTACAGTCACAGCAAATTCTCGTGAGTGACATATCCTTAAACATCCTTAAATTTGCACTTGTACAGGTTGCTTGCTTGGCTGCCCAGAAAATGGATGAGAAACAAAATAAGGTGCTGAGATTGGGAAATGCCACATTTCTTTAGTGCTGTGACCTAAATGCCAGAGCCTTTTGCCTATTCAGGGCTAAATGACATGATAAGACTCACACATATGTGCTATTAGGGCTGACATGAACACAGGAAAACGTGTCCTGTTTTGGTTACAGCCATATAGAAAACAATGCAGTTCTTTCCTCGTCCTTCAGTTTGGTTTGTTTATTAGAGCATTTGCTTTACAAAGCTCTTCTCTGCTGGCTTCCCAGTGTGATCATGGAGAATCAAGGCCTCAAGCTGCTGAGCCTGATCCTGCAGTGCTTTTTACACGCAGCTCCTGTTCATGTTAGTGGGCAATGCCCACACTGCAGGGCCACAGTTTTGGACCCTAGGAAGGCTCAGCCTCTTAAGAAGCAGCTGCAAATTCATGTTCTTGGGATATAATTATAGCTGGTGATACTGATGCAAGAAAGCAAATTATAGGGTAACAGGACTTGGCTAATAACTCTCATCCATTAATGTGCATTCTTATATATTCTCCAGCCATAAAACTAGCCATACTGATTTTTTCCTGGCTCTTGATTTGAGGGATCACAATGACACACAGGTAAGAGCTACCTTTCATGTGTTCCAGGCAGTGGAGAAGATGTTTGCAGTGCCAAGTGGATTTTACTGGCAAACTGTTGAAAGTGATGAAAAATGCTGCCCTAATGGCAGTGACACCGAGGTAAAATAAATGAATAAACTGATCACGTTTAAGTGACCTGCAATGTTTCAGTCTTTAGGTTTAGGTACAAATACTCAAGGTATTTTTCACTCAAACTTGAATGCATCAACTGAGTCTTTTGTGTCATCAGTATTGATGTAGTGATTGCTCTGAGCCACAAAAGATCTGGCTATGAAATATGCAGGTTGAAGAAATTGCTGCAGAAAGGAACAAGAGGGAAATTCTGATAAGCCGAAGATAGATGACTGTGAGTCAGTGTGCAACACAACTTGCACCTAACTTTGCTCCATGTACTGTCTACCTTAGCTACACTAACTGTCTGTGTTGGGGAAAAAAAAGTCTGTATACTTTAACCCAGAAGAAGGTAACTTGAATTAGCTCATCTTTCCCTCTGTTTAGGAACGCGTACCAAAACGTGCAGGACTTGTACCCATGTTTGTTGGTAACTGTGGTAACTCACCTTTTTTAGCTCTTGTGCAGCACCACGTGGCATGTTTGATCTGACAGAGTTCGGTTTCAGTTAGGATTGATTCAGAGAGATGGAGATATCTTACGTTCTTCCTGAACAATAAGTTTGACTGATGACTGAGAGCAGTTAGCATACACCAGGCTTGCTCCTGGAAGATACCTGAAGACCACAGTTACTTGTTAAAGATGCTGGGCGCTTGGCACAGTCAGGAAATACCTTGTGTCTTGTTACAGCTCCTCAGTGTTTCTCAGAAGTGGGTCCATACAGAACATGGCACAGCAAGGGCTGGATGCTCCGGGAGGAAATGGCACAGCAGGAGAATAACGGCAAGGCAGGGTGCAGTCAGATGTTTCCCAAGAAAGGCAGAGCAGGTCCAGCAGCAGTAACCAGGGTCAGCCATGAGCCCGTAGGGACGAGGCCAAGTAGGAAAGTCAAGTCAGCAGGTTAGGATAGCAGCCAGAATCAGTGATATACGAGGCTGGGCACAGGAAAGCCTGCAACAGTGCTCAGAGGCCAAAGCCGAGTGCCTGGCTCCCAAGCTCAGGGAACCAGGCAGTTGCTGAGGCTTTTCAGTGTTATGTTAGACAGCTGCAATATCAAGACTGGCCTGGAGCCCAGGCAGCTAAACCCTGGGGACTATCAGAGCTGCTACAAAAATGTGCTTCCTTACTGGCTGCTGCGAGCATTTGGTTAGTATCAGGAGAGCTTGAGCTAGATGAACATAAAGAAAAAGAGCTTTTATTCCTAATTGGTACACTTTCTTATGATTTAAGTAAATTTATAACTTCATTTATCATGATATTATAAACCCTGTTACGTGTTTATGGGGGGAGTAGCATTTCATTTAAAGCAACCAGGAGTGATGAATTCATTTTGCGTTCAGCGCAGACATAAAGCTTGCTGCTGGCAATAGCACTGTGTGTCTTTACACCCAGGAGAACCATGCACAAATTTGAGGCCAATGCAATCGTGCTTGTCTGATCTGCACCTAGACAATTCATTACCTGCAGTGTGTGAAGCACCACAAAACTTTCTGGTGTAAAGCACGTGCCTTTTGAAGCAGTATGTTTCTTTTCGTAGGGAAATCCAGAGCTCAGAGTTGTTTGTTTTCCTTTAGATTGCAGACATTCAGTACATACAACTGTATGTCTTTCTATTTGCCAAGATGAGCTGAATTGGATTCATCTGGCAAAGAAAAGTTCAAAATGTAAATCTGGGGCAGTGTCTGTCTGATTTATTTTTATGTTAATTTTGGTATTTTTGTAGGTATAAAGAAACAATTAGTTGGTCTATTATAATTTAGCCATCTTTCTGTAGTATGCAAAGTTAAACAGCAGGAGTGATGCACTTCATTCTTTGTCCCAGAAAACACGCAGTTTTTTACTAGTGGGTTTATGTGACAAAAGGCTCAGCTGTATCAGTAGTAATACATAATCATTATTCAGTCACAGCTACCATGCTTATTCAATCTGAAGGTAAAAACCTACTGTGCTGAACTGCATGTAAGCACAGAAGAAAAGCCTCTTCGTAGCTCTGATAGTGCAGGCAAGGCCTGAGAATTAAAGGTGAGCGGAAGGAATGCAGCTGTGAGGTCACTGTGGACTTGGAAACATTTTGGCTCATTCCACCACTGTGCTCTTGCTTCCAGGTTGCCATGGTGTTGCCGTTTGAAGCTCCCTCCCAAAGATCCCTAGCTGCCCATCACGTGTTGCAGCTGGTGCTCAGCTCTGGGCTGGATACCTGTGGACTCCACCTGCTCTGCTCTCAGCGTGATGTGCTGCTCTCTAGCTCAGGTGAGGTCTGGTTTTCCTTCAGAGATTCCATCCTGTGATGGTGCTGAGGGGAAGAATCACCTGGTGCTGTGGACATAGGGAAGAGAGTAACAGATTTCCAAGAGCCTCACATCAGTGCTTGTATTTTTGCCCAAAGAAGTGATAGAAAGAAGCAGCACAAGGTCTGTTATCGATTCCCAGTGCTGAATATTCCCCCGTTGAATTTTTAGCTCTCAATATATTTTTGTGGCTCGAGCCTGTTTCTTTTCTCCTTTGCAGAGGCTTTCCCAGATTCCAGTGCTCAGGTTTATGCTCATGCAAATTAGATGCACTAAGTTTCCATGGATTTTTCTGGAGGTTTTAGGTATAGATACTCCAACCTCTCTTCCTCAATTGCCCCCCTTCCAAGTCTTCTGGGACTTCAGTCTTAACTTCTTCAGGAGCACGTGCAAAAGGAAACTAGTGGCCATTTGTAACTGACATTTTGGTGATGGCTTATCAGACAATGCGTGTCACAATTTGTGAATAGAAGACAGTCTGAGATATGACAGCAGAAAGGTGAGGCAAACAAAAGCTATATTGGGTCCCTGATGTCAAATCCCAAAGCCTTTAACGTCAGACACCAGCGTTTTCAAATATTTGCTTGTGCCAAGTCTTCATATTTTTCCATTTGTGAAGCAGTGATAATGAAACCTGTCTCAAAGCGTGTACAGCAGATTACTAGTTGCTAATGGAATATAACCCTAGAACAACAAGCAATTATACCAGCAGCAAAATGTAGAGATGGCTCCTGATACACTGTGGCTAGTGCTTTCTTTTAAGCCAAAAAGTTCTCCTGAGAGGTTTGCATATGACACCACAGTGAATACAATCAGTCTCTACTGGGAAAGTTCTAGGCAGACTGAGAGAGAAACAGGCTTCCTTCTGCTTAGACAGAAGATGAATGCAGACCTGCTTAATTAGAGAGAAACTCTGCAATCTTCCTACCCTTTTTTACATCTGAAAACCACAGAGGCAGACTGCCTTAAAAATGGGATTGCAGTTGTCTCAGCATTGTGTGTGAAATACATTCATGCTGATAACTGGAGAAATGAAGGAGGACTACAGAAATGAGTAAGAAAACCATAAAATCACCAGTCATTAAGAACTGACAGGCAGCAGATCTGCTTCAGTGCTCCCAACTCTTACCATTATTAACATTTTGTGTGAAGAACAATTAATTTCAGCTGAGAACTGCTCTGTGAGTTTGAAGACTGGATTATTTTGAATATTTTCAGACCACTTCTCCATTCTCTACCTGTTCTGGAGATTTATGTTCTGCCTTCTGATTCTCATGCAGCTAGTGATGTAAATGAATGCATTGAAGTGTCAGGGAAGAGAATGACAAGTCTTTCTGCTTTTGTACAGTAAGAACTGGAGAGGAGCCAAACTCGCTCTTTTCTGGGGTTACTTACTGAACCCCAGCAGTACTGACAGTGAGCATGGAGAAGGGTTTGTCAGAGGTGTAAGGAAGAATTACTGCAGGAAATGAGGAAAGCCACAAATCCTGGAAGGGGAATAAAGCTGGCTTAGCGAATATTGGGATACATCTTTATACAGCATAGGACTTGTTTATATGTTTATGAACATAGGACTACGTTTATAGAACATAGGACAAATCTTTATTTTATACAGAGGGAAATAAACCAGAAAAGATGTGGATGGATTTTCAGCTTGCGATCTTCTCCCTATTTTCCCATATCTGATGAAAATTACAGAAAGTATTCTTCTTCTCAGGGCCATGTTCTTGCCCTGTCTCCCCTTCAGACCCACCAGCCTTCCTTGTATGAGACAGTATACAGCACCAGAAGTTAAAGTGCTGGCTTCTGACAGCTGGCTGCTGCTCAGTAACTAACCCTATGCACACCCTTATCCACAGCAAATATGGAGCATCCCGCTCTTTTTTTCTCTATCAGGTAAGCTGCCTTGAGCAATCTCAGATTTACAGTTGGGTAAAAATGTGCAGCTGGTTGCCAGTGTAACACCTGCAGGACAGATAACACGTAGGTTACTTTGTGCCCAGCTATGACAGATCTGAAAAAAGCACTGGAGTGGAATGAATGACCTTGGGGTGGGCTGTTCCATGTTTTATTTGAATGCATTTGTCTTTCACAGGAAAACTGCCTTCTTCCTATGCTTCAGAGACTGACAAGGTGCTGGCATTAGGGGTGAGAGGGCCTAAAGGAGTTAGCACCATGCAGAATATCACTGGGCCATCTGACCCGCAGCTGGCTGGTGTGACAGACTGCAGTTCCATCAGTGCCATCTACTGCACGAGCCACACAGAGCCTCTTGACTACCTGCCCCAGCAGGACAGCTGTGTGCACAGGGAGCTGTGCCTCTGGTTTGGAGGGAGGGCTGCTGATGCAGCACTGCATGGTGGTGTCCTGGATCCGACTCCCAGATACAACAGAACAAGGTGAGGGTGCTGGCCTGCATGTTTTTGAGTGATGGTAGTTCTCCCAGGCAAAGCCGTGTGGAGGACAGACAAGCACACAGTTGGCATGCTTTGTCTTTATTGGTCTTCTGCCAAAGGTCTGAAAGAACAAGAGTGAAGGATGGAATCTGTATACTGTTTCAATTTTCACATGGGTTACTACAGTCTGTAAAAGCACATCTCTCACATCACTGTCTCCCCTCGATATGTCAGGTGTGGCATTCCTGCAGTTGCCTCCCATCAATTCTTCCCTGGAAGACCTTCAATTCCTACACTTGCAACACCTGGGCCCCTTCTGTGTCAGTAATGGCTGATCAGCCTGGTTTGAAAACTCTTCTAGCTCTGCCTGGTGTTGGAAAAAGGCTGCAAGATTGCGTGCCATTGAGCAGCCTGTTCTCCAGGTGCAGCTCTGCCCTTTGTCCCTTTCATATTAACAGATTGGAGATAAGGAGCTTCAGATGGAAAAGGTTCTTGGGAGGATTATGACAGAAGTGTGTGTGAGAATGAAGGATGGATTATAAAGCAAATTGGCTCTTAAGCAAATTAGCGTGAATAAAAACAGCTTAGGAACTGGTGGCATAGCAGTGGGGTGCAAAAAAGTTTAAGGAACTGGAAAGACTCAGGAGTCTGGAATCTTGCTCTTGGATAGAGCTGAGTATAGCTGCAGAAGGAACTGGGTTATTAAGTAGCTATTAATCCATCATGCACCCTTCAGCAATATGTATTCTACTGTGCGTAACTACAAGGAGGCAGGCTGTAGCTCCCAAAGGCTCCCATTTCTGTTCAAGATAGCCAAACCTCTCCAGTGTTTTTTTATTCTTAAAGTTGCTTGGTTTGTGATATTGGTGGTGGTCTGCTATAAAGTCTGCTCTTGGCCTTCCTCAGCAGAACAGAGGTGCATACATCAGGGAAAAGGAGTGAAAAGAGAGAAGAAGAGAAAGGCTTCTGTTCAGCTCTGAAGTCAGCACTCAGCAGCCCTTTCACATTGTCCACAGCTGCAGGAAAGCAGAGGGAAGCTGGGTCAGTAGTCTGGGGATACCCTTGGCTCTACTCTTTCCCAGCACTTTTTTTCCCTCAGTAGCCTTCCTACAGTGTGGAATGATCACTTCCTGACAACCCTGCTACTTCCCAGATGGAGACTCAAACCTAAGACCCAGGAGTCTCACTCAGTCCTATGAATCCTCTTCCTAAATGAAGAGCCCTGCTGTGCTTAAGGTCCCTTTCCTCAGACTGCTGCTGCAAAGACACATCAGAGCAGGCTGGCCTGCACAGGTCAGAGAGAAGAAGCACTTGCATTTTTTTGGGCTTCTGAAAGACACCCCTTGGGTTTTTCCAAGCAGAAGTGGATGTGGGCCTCAAAGCATTTGGCCTACAGTGCTTTATCAAAAGATTTGGCTTAGGGCTTCAAGGAGTTTCCAACAACTGGGGTAATATGAATCTGAGACACCCTTTCCTGGCTGCTCTACAGGGCTGTGTAATAGTCATGTGGAGTGCCAGCCACTGGGTTTTTTAGGCCTTAGGCATCTCCTTTCAATGTAACTGAATTAAAGATGTGTTGGTGTGGTGGAACTCCCCTGCAGCTCAGGCAGTGCCCTGAACCTGCAAGTTCTGGGCAGGTTTTACAGTTCCCAGCTGCTCAGTGCTGCAAGCACACTGCTGGTGGCAGAGAGTGAGGGGTGAGGGGCTCTACAGCCTTGGTGCTTTCTGCTGTGGGGAGGAGTGCATCCATGTAGAGCTGATCTGATGCCCTCAGAGGGGGTTATGTGTCAGAGTTTGGCTTTGTTTCCTCATGAGCAACAATTCATCATTTTCAATTTTATGATATGTAAAACTCAATTTGGCCAACTTTCATTCTTTTTATTTTCCTCAAGGATGCTTTTTTTCCTACAGAGATGATGAATTCTGCTCCTCTGGTATAACTCAGCCGGTCCAGAGTGCTGCTAGAAATGTGCCCATCTCCTAATGCTGGTAATTTGACCCGTTGGGAGATCAGAATACAAGCTGCACCTCAGAATTCAGTTTGTCAGATTTTACTTGCAAATACTAGTGGCTTCTGTCAGTCTCCTGGGAGTGAACAAGCAGCATGTATTCCAACTCAGTAGCAGGGGAATGAGGCGGACAGGTTTGCCTGAACAGCCTGCATTTCACAGACCTAGCCAAACTGTTGTGCAGACTGCAGTTTGCCTTCTCAGTCCCTGGCTTTCTGAACTGCACCTTATGTTCGCTGTGCCATCATTTGGTCTTTTTGGGTATGCAGGAATGTGGAGAGGTTTCACTGTGATGAACATCTGTGACAGTCTTGATGGTGCTTGTTACCCAACACGAAGCAGCAGAAGAGTACTGTGATTGATTTAAAACTACTTAAGTTCTGGCTAAAGAACCAAAAGTAAATAGCAGCTGTGATGTATCTGCAGGGTAGGAAAAACACTGATAATGTAGCCTGACATTTTTTTATTTCCAAACTGGCCACTTTGTATTAGATTGTGCTATTGAGCAAAGAGACCCTTGGAGGGAGTAATAGAAGAGACAGCCAGTCTGAGAGAACTTGGTGTAGCTCATGGCATTAACAGGAGGTTGGAATGGCCTTTCCGTTACAGCTTTCTTGACCCTGGGTCTGTTGCAGAAAGGGGGTTGGACTCAGAACCTGGCACAACACCTTTTAATATCTGCTGTTTTTCTTTAGATCTCAGAGTCCTTCATCAACTAGAGAAGAAGCAGGTGAGGAAAAGGTTCATCTCCAGGGCGTGGTGCAGTCTCAGCCTCCAGCAATGCTTGTCTCACCTACCAACGGTTCGTAATAGGGAACTAATCTTGAGGTTTTATGGCTCTCCTTCACTGACAGAGTTACCTCACTCCAGTGCACCTGTTTCAGGAAATTCTGCCTTACTCAGTGTTGTGATCTGGCCAGGTCCAGAGCCAGAAATGAATTTCTACTGAAACGCTGTTGCCTAAAATGAAGTGACAGAGAACTGTTATCACATCATCCTCCTCATGGGAGCAGCTGCTTGAGTCCTGTAGGCTGCTTAGGTTTCACTTAAAAACGTGCACACAAAAACTCCCACAACAAATTTGTGCTTGTAAGGGGGCTGTTTATCAAGGAACTATTGTGATTACCTAACAGTGTCCTTAGACTGCTTGCTTAACTGATCAGAAATCAACTCTAGACCAGTACAGGTAGCTGAAGGTAATAGGGTGTGAAATAGTTAAGAATTCATTCAAGCCAGGGCTGACTATGTAATCAGAAAAGAAAGCATTTAATGGGACTAACATTAACTATCACCTGACTCCTCTATCCAAGTGCCCTTTGTAAGAGCAATCTTCTAGCTTCTAAATTTCTAGCTAGCTAGCAGCAGCTTGACTGTGTTCAAGGGAGCCTGCTGAGCACTTGGTGTTAGGACTGGCTCTGAGGGATGGGAGAGGTGTCTGCTGCAGATGGGCCAGTGTGCTCCTCATCTTCTGTAGTTGGGCCTGGCAAAGCAGATCTCAGGTGCAGGTGATTATGAGACAATGCTATTAGAACATTGCTATCATGTTTCTACTCCCACAGTTGAAAAGATTTCCACAGGAAGAAGGGGGGGGGGGAGAGGGAGGGACAATATCAAAAAGCACAGAGGGGTGTGGAATCTCAGCAGCTGTCAGGGAAAGGATGACTGGAGGAAAATAGGATCATACTGACGTAGAGAGAAGGTAAAGAAAGTTATATTCCTAAAGGAAAGGAGTTATGAGAAAGGAATGAAAATGTAAGATGAAAAGAGGGGAAAGTGACAGGAAAAAATGGAAAAAGGAAAGAAAGGAAAGTCTTACCTTTGAGATGCAGTCTCTTGTTTAACTGGGCATGTTAATTCAAGTAGCTTGGCATACAGCCATTGGCTCCATGTTATTTGGGATTGGTATTGATGGCAGCTGGTTGCTGCTGATGGAATGACTCACATTTTCTGCCTCCCCTTCCTTTTATGGCTATTAATGATTCACATTTGATGTGGGCTGCTGAGTTATACTACACCACGTTCCATCTGTATTTGGGCTCAGGAAATCACTTTCAGGCTTTTCTCCTCAGATAACTATCATGACTCCCAAAGAGAAGCCAAAAAACTGATCTGGGAGCAGACACCCTGTGGTGTGTTAAGCAAAGGAAACATTTACTTATTCCTTCCACCAGGTCTGCAGCAGCTTCTCCTTGAGATGGAAAGATGCACCCATGCAGAGCATGCAGAACAAATACGCTGCTCCACCCATCAGATGTATACACTTCATCCCAGTAAGAAAAGTTCTATTGACCCTAGCAGATTTCCCATTAGTTTGGGATGTGTGCATGTGAAAAAAGAAAAAAGTTTGTTTTCTTTAAGTGTTATTTACTAGAGATGAACCGAAATCATACCACCTGCAACCCTGAATTTTGTTTATTTAGAGCTTTCTTGGAAGTTACAGAGATCTGCCACCCTGTTGGCAGTGAGCTTGGAGTTAAACCTAAAAAACAGAAGTTAATAATCTGAGATTCTAACCCACTATCAACTCTAGTTGCTTCTATGGACTTGTCTGGGGTGAGGAATACAAGCAGAGCACAAGTAACCAGATCTAGTGGCTAAAGCTTAGGTAGGAGGGAAACTCAGGTAGTAGAAAGCAGGCTGGTGCCATTAGGATCACAAAAGACAGGGGTCTGTGAAGCCACAGGTGGTACCAAGCAAGAGTAGAGTAACATCATGATCAGAGGCTGGTCCAAAGATTCTGTAGCCTATGCCACGTGCCAGCCTCTGGGATGAAGAGTAAAGACTGGGCTGAAGAGGTTCATGCTGGTCAGGGTTGTGTAAATTGTGGTCCTGCAGACTAGCAGTGGTAGCAGAGAGGAATAGCTGAGGCTGCCTCACACGCCTTGTAGTAGACAAGTCAGCAGCCAGTCTTGACCTCGTTTAGTTACTCATCACTTTGGCCAGATTTATTCTTAGTCTTCTGGGGATCTCAGTGCTGTCAGCTTGCTCAGGCACAGCCTGTTGGGGGTGGACACAGGGCCGTCATAGGGCCTGAGAGCACAGATAGCTCAAAGATAGATGAATAGCTCGTGGATGGCTGGATAGACTTTATGAGATAGAATGTCTGGAGCAGGTGATTCACAAAGAGATTACTGATAATGCCATAAGCTTTACTGTTGTATGTTGGCTCCTGAAAGCAGCCGTTATAAGATGGATAGAAGAAATAAACCATGAAATACGGTGTCTCTATTTGGGATGTGCTTCGAGTAGGATCTGGCTGCTGAGAGTTTCTTTGCAGTAATACCACAGCTTTTCTTACCTCCTCTTTGATCTAGGGGACGTCATTTTGACAGTGTCACCTCTGGTACCTCCTCATGCGTATGGTAACGTGATTGCAGTCTGTTCTCGTCGGGGGTTTGCTCTGCAAGGAATCAGACAGCTGCAGCTTTCACACAAGCAAGCCATTGTGCTGAGCATGACAACAAGTCAGGTACCAGACAGAATGCACTGCTTGGTTGTATAACTTGGCTTCACATTTTTGAAGCTTACTGTGTTGTAAGTTGATGTGTGAGCTGACACTCCTTTAGTAAGTGTTCTCGAGGGCACTCATCATCTCTTTACCAGCATTCGTGTTCTCTATGTTCCTGTGAGTGGCCTTCTGGTTACTTTCAGTGCTGATGGTTTGGTTTTTTTCATTAGTAAGAAAATCCCACTAGACTTAAGCCTCTCACTGAACCTAAGCATAAACAGACTTGCTTCTACTAAAGCAAGCATTAATTTTGCCATTGATCTCAAAATAAGAAAGAACAGACAGTTCGTAAATGTTTCAGAAGTTTCAGAAATGAAAATAACAATTTCTGATCTGGAAACCTGTATTCAGAACAGTCTTTGTCTAACAGACTGATGTGTGACTGTGTGCTTCACAGTCCCTCTGGGTCTGCTTGTGGCCTTTCAGCATGAGGCAGTCCCATAACTTAATGCATTCAGATGGCTTGCAAGAAGAGCTTTCCTATCGTCAAAAATAACCTTTTTCTTTCTCTCAAGCTCTGTGTAACACGGTAGATTTGAGTTGAATAGAGAGAAGTTGGCATTTTGACATGTCAACCTAAGAAATAAATGATCATAAATGCAAAAATACATTTGAACTTGTACAAGAAGTCCATCTCTGTACTGTAAATCACCCAGGAATCCTGTGACGCTTTGTCTTACAGAGGGCTGTGTTCCTTCACTTCAAATGTTCACACTTAGAGTTGTTTCCTACGTTAATAAGGAAATGTTTCATTCTGCAAACTAAACTGCACAGAAGCCTTCTTTTCTGCTTGTTCTCTAATCAAGCATGAGGAAGAACACTTTCCCTGCCCATAATGTCTTGTAGAATGAAAGCAATGCCTATATATGGAATGCTACATCAAAAATGGGCAGATATCTGGGGCATGCTCCTAAACGGCTATTTCAGAAGATAGCAGCAGAAATGATTGTTTTAATGTGTTCTCTGGTGCTAAGTGTTTCAGGACTTGGGGTTCAAGATCATTTTTGAATGAGTAATTTAGAATACTACCAGTTATTCTCTGCATTTATGACCATTGTGGTTTTTGTTCAGCCCAGTTGTAGAGCAAAACATTTTATGTTAAGTCTTTTCATGAGATTTAAGTTCATTCCTCTGTCTCATGAAGAGATGACAAATGAACACCTACTAATACCTACTATATTAATGGAAGTTAATGTGGTTCGACTGGTGTTGCTGTGTCTTCATATGCCATCATAACTTCAGTGTTTGCTTGAGCCTTGTAGTGCTTAAATCTGGATTTAGTCTTCTAATCTGGTCCTTGTTATTTCAGATTGCTCTATTTTGCCCTGGCAAGATTTCTAGTTTTCCTGAGAACAGTTCTGCACGAGGAGAGCTTTCTGCTGAGCCACACGTGCGCTGTCTTGTCTTGTTGCTGAGAAAGGAGGATGCTAGTCATCATATTCTTGCATTGGTAAAAGGTAATGCTTTCAGTTCTCAAAAACCTCAGCATTTTAGAGCATTTGAACTGGAGGTTAAAAGCCTTGCCAAATTTGTTACATTGTGGGAAGGTTTGAGGATGCTGGGGCCTGATAGTTTTGCTGTCTGAATCTCCAGGCCCATTTTTCTAGATCAGTCACTTCTACATATCCTACACAGCAGATTAATCTTTGTCAATTACTTGATCTTTAGCACTGAAACCCTTTTGAGTTTAGAATCACAGAATAATTTATGTTGGGGGGGGTGACAGAAGGTCAGTCACCCAATGTCCTGTTCAGCACAGCCTCAGCAATTCAGACCAGGATGCTGAAGGCAAGTCAAGCTTTGGGGATCTGTAAGGGCAGAGATTCCACCGCCTCTCTTGGTCCTCTCTTCCAATGCTTTGCTCTCCACATACAGCACTGTTTTTTTCCCCTTATGTCAAAGTGGAACCTCCTGTTTGAATTCATGACCCTGGCCCCTTGGCTTCCCACTATACACCTTTGTAATGGGCTTGGCTTCATGTTTTCTCTTAGATATTATTACTTCTCAGAGGAGTAGGCTGCCTGTCACTGGGCCTGAGGATATCATGCAATCCTATCAACCTCATCCCGGAATTCTGTGTGCTTGTGACTTCCAAGCATCTGAACTGCAACTTATTTTATATGTAGAGACTGCCAAAAGAACAGACATGTAGCTGCCCCCAGTCCTCTTAGTTGATTCAAACTCTGTTCTGATTCTCTGATTCAGGATGGGAGTTATTTAGTTTTCTTAAGGATAAACCGACATTGGCCTTAAGAGGGGAGAATCACAAACAGCAGCAGTGATCAGCACAGAGCAGAGAGCCCTGACCTGCCTGCTGCTTCCTGCCCTGGCAGTGGGCAAATTGACAGTGTCAATTGTCCATTCCAGCATCTCTTTTTTCACAGCCTGCCCTTTAGACTGCTAGGATAAGTGGGTCACTGTAGCCTGAACAGTTCCAGAACAGCTGCTGACCCCTCCATTACACCACAGCAGCTTGCTCCTGAAGGAGGCGTTCATCCATTGCCTTTTATGATGTTTACCTCTTATAATCCATCCACAGTAGAAAAGAACATCTAAAGTTTTTGGAGGAAAAAAAATAAGCTTCAAGAAGTCCTCCTCTTTTTCTTCCAAAGACCATCACAACATGTTCTGAAAACGTATTTAGACACCATGGATTAATCATGGCAGACTAATTACAGCACCATGTCCCTGCTGCCTGCAGACCTAAGGAAAGTTGCTCACTAAAGAAAAATAGCTTCTGCTTTTTCCCTCAAAAAGTGCTGCAGATGACATTCACAGTGTTTGTTTTGCACAGCAAAATTTGCACTAGAAATATCTCTGTGGACACTGGGACAAAAAATATTCAGGAGGGGTAAAATATTTGCTCTTATTGTAGAGCTGTCAATTTTTTTTTTTTTCCTTTGTAGAGAGATTTTGCAAATGCCTCTTTTGTACCCTCTTTGCTTCAGAAGTGATCCAGAGAGCTAGCTTATTCTGTATTCAAGAGCCTTGGAGAGGAAAGTAGTTGTTGCCACATAAGCTTTGGCTTAGCTTCTGGGAAGTGTAGGACAGCACTAGGAATTGAGTAGGGTCAACACCATACTAAGCAGTTTTGTATGTTTAATCAATAAACCCCTGATAAGCAGTCACTTCTTTGATGTTCACCACTGCTCAATCTTCAAAGCAAAGCAAACTTCAGCAGTCATTCTTGAAATGGAGCAGAGAGATAGGTGCCTACAGGAAACATTTCTGTATCAACACCATCAATTTTTGACCAAGCTTTCCTTTGCTATGTTTGAACAGGGAGCAGATAATCACAGAAGTTACAGAATCACAGCTGCTTTTGGCTGGAAGGGATCTTAAAGACCGTTTAATTCCAACCCCCTGCCATGGGCAGGGACACCTCCCCCCAGCTCAAGCTGCTCAGGGCCTCATCCATGGCCTTGGGCACCTTCAGGGATGCAGCATCCCCAGCTCTCTGGGAAGCAGAGCCAGGGCCTCACTACCCTCTGGGTAAAGAATTTCATCCTAATATCTAACCTAAGTCTCCCTTTTTCTAGTTTAAAGCTACTACCCATTGTCATAGCTCTACAGTTCCTGGTAAAGTGTCCCTCTCCAGCTTTTTGTAGGACCCATTTAAGTACTGGAGGGTAGCATCCTTCAGGTACTGAAAGGAGGTTTCATTTATTTTTGCCATCTGAATTTTAAAAAGCAGGTGGTTAGTTGTCAGTGGGACAAGCTCAAGTCTGTGTCAGTGCCACATTTGGCATCTGAGGTTTGTCATCAATGTCTACAGCTAATAATCCATTTTCCATGCCATGCTGCAGTAAACTGTTGACAGGCTTGTAGAATGGAAAGCAAAGATATGTGCAAAATAACTAAAAATAACAAACCTTAAAAAATGTCTGAAATATTGTAAAACACAACCAATTGTTGTGAAACTGCACTCTATGCCAGTATGTTAGTGCACAGCCTGTGCATAGCCTGGCCCTTTGGGAAAGAATGGGAGCGATGACTGTTAGTTTCCAGCACTTAGTACTTGTAAAAGTGCAGTTAAGATATTTTCCAGACTGGGATTTACATCTATTAACCTTACAATAGCTCTCTGGCCTCGTGGTGCTGTGTAGGATGCAGAATATTGGCCTTGCCACTGATACTGAGGGTCTGGACTCAAACAGTGGGTCCAAAATTAGAGCTATTTTTTCTTGTGGGCAACAACTTGCTTAGGACACCTACGGCAGTTCAGGAGCTGTGTAGGATATTCTGTGTGTGCATTCCTTATCTCAGTCCACTGCCTGTAGCTGAAACAAATGAGTCCTGGTCAGAAGGCAGAGGTGTCTCCAGAGAAAGCTGTGACCAGCACTCAGCATTCAACAGCCCCCTTCCTGACTGTATGTGAATATGGGTTGGGGAAGAGGGAACGATAGAACTGCGTTTCATGAGGCAAGCTCAGTGTGACCCCATATAGATGTCTCTGTAATGCATCTGTGGTCAGATGAATCAAAATACTTGATAAGAAGTGTGGTTTTCATGTCAGACTGCATCACGGGGCTTTGTGCTCCTCACAAGCTCTTGTTTTGTGCACAGGACTGATGAATGAACTGGCACAGCAAGGCCTCCTTGGCAACAGGCAGAGCAGCTTGCCTGCCACAGCCAGGCTGGACTCCTCCATGTGCTTCCATGTGGCTCCTTACACTGAGAACTTGCTGCAGATGCTGGGTAGGTAAAGGCTGTGGGAATGCAGTATTCTATCTCTTGTAAGGTCTGACAACCTTTACCAGAGGAATTCCCTGATTAAGAGAATTAGGAGAATGCTCATTCTCTACAGTAACTCATTTAGTGTTCCAATGTCCTTCAATTGTAAAAACTCATTGAATGTCTTCTACTTCTGCAAAGTGAATGGAAGAATCCATGGAAAAGCAATATGGAAATAACTTTGAAATAGATTAAATAATATATTTTTACTTACATTAAATATGACCTGACAACAAGCAGTGAAGCCTTAAAATTGCCAGGATTAAAAGAATCCTACCAATGTGTATTTACTGACACAGTTTTAAAGACAAGTCAAAATATTCAAATGAGATAAATCACTCATTCAGTATGTAGAACTAGGATTTGCTGAAGTGATGCACGTAGGCAGCTGCAATTCCTTCTGCAGTTGCAGAGAAGGCACTTCTTCATTTCTCTTTACTCTGAAGCCCTTAATTTCAATGCATGCACTTGAATTCGTGTCAGTAACTCATTCATTCAAAGCTGGGGAAAATTGATAAGGTTTGGAAAAGCAAGTAAACTTGTTACAGACTTATGACTCAAATGGGTTGGAGGGTCCTAGAACTACTTGTTCTATGTGCTTGGATGTTACAGTAACCAGAAGTTCATTTTGCTAACTATGGGTAATACTGCTTATATACCACTCTTCTGGAGAAGAATTTTTTCCTTACATCCAACCTGAACCTCCCATGGCACAACTTGGAGCCATTTCCTCTAGTCTTATCTCTCCCTACAACCAAATTAACATAAATTGTGAGGGGGGGAGGAATCCAGTGCATGTCATTCACTATTTTCTTTCATTATGAAATGCTAAGATGTGGGAATAGTTAAGTACATGGGTGTTAATCTGTACAGTTGCTTAAATATTCATGCACTTGAAAGAGTATAGAATCTTTCTGATTTCAGCTTTATGATGGGACTGGGAATTCTGCAGGCTGTGTTGTTCCTGGTAGGACAATGGATATGTGCATAATACAGTGTCTCCTGCTTTTCTGTCCTCAGTTTCATGCTGTGTAATCTCCTAGAACACAATATGAAGTATCAATTGAATGCAAAGCCAAGCCTTAGTTATCAATCTGAAATTTATGCCTTAAATCATTTTGCTACAGATCTATCAACACTGTTTAACAGTGCGAATAAGGACATCAAAATTAGGGTTTGAGTATATTTGCTTTACATGCCAAAAGCAATTCCAGTTAAGGGGTGTGACTAATTAGTGAGGATTTGCTGTGATTCTGCTCCTTACATGTGTTTCTTTGTTCAGCTGTGCTGAGCTGCAGCATCACAGTGATGCACTGCCTAATAGAGAATTAGCCAGTTCCTTTTTGCTAAACAGGAATGGATGTTTGTTTATGGGCAGTAACTACGTTTATTTGGATGATGTCTCTGGACAGGAGGAAACTTCAGTGCAGTTCCAGACCCGTGTAACATTCCTCTGGATTTTTTCTGCAACCGAAGATTTGCTTCCGATCCTGAAATGGAGCAAGTAGTCCTGCTGACACTGGTTGGGACGGATGCTATGGGCAGTGCTGGAGAACTCCTTTGCCAGATCCTTCTTCCTGGGAGCAGTAGTCAGTATCAGAATGCAGGTGATTGCTGGCAGCTCCTGGGGGAGGCTGTAGAAGTTGGTCAGGAAAGTTGAGCCTGTCTGGCTGCTTTTATCATAGCCAGAAAGCTTTGAAAAAAAGAGATACGTATTTAAACAAATGATTTCTTCATTTACCTGCCAGAAGTGCTGAAGAATTTGTCATGGCTAGTTAGTGGGCAAGGCTGCTTTCCATTTGACACAGGCTGGCATTTTCTTCAGAGAGGGTCAAAATAGTTCCAGTATGTGCGAAGCCCTTTATGTTTTCCCCGTCTTCTGAGCAGCGAGAGAAAATGCAGCTGTGCAGGGAAGGCACAGCAACAGGAATTCGGAAGTCACAAATCCTATTATTGCTGGTCCACTGACATCCTTTGTGACCAGAAACAAGACAGCACACCTCTTAATGCCTCATTTCCTTGTGCAAAGGAGGAGTAATGACACTGTCCCATGCATTAAATGATCACAAATGATGAGTGCTGTCAGGTGCTAACAAGATGAAGATTGTATGTAATTTCATGATGCAGATTGCATTAGTGTGCAGTAATGCAGTCACTGTCCTGATAAAGGGCAGAAGTCTGGCATACTGTCTGCACTCTTATTCTATGTCCTGTTCTCTTGAGGTGGGGCTGTTTAGTGAGATCTATATCACAGTAGGCAAAGAGGAGATTCCAGCTGACTGCAACTTCCAGCAACCTGAACTCATGGACTGACCCTGTAAATATCATGGAATTGTTTGGGTTGGAAGGGATCGTTAAAGGCTGTCTGGTCCAAGTCCCCTGCAGTGAGCAGGGTCACCTACAGCTCTGTCAGGTGCTCAGAGCCTAGGCCAGCCTGACCTTTAATGTCTCCAAGGATGGGCAGCTCTGAACAGACCGTTCCACTGTTTTACCACCATTATCACACAAAAAAACTTGTTTTCTTACATCCAGACTAAACCTCCCCTTGCAACTTTGAGACTTCTAGTCTGATAGATTAGAGCACTTGTCTCCAAAAGTACTGTGACTTTTATGAAACGTATGCTATCAACTGATACTAGAAATATTTCCTTTGACTTGCAGAAGGACCTGATTCAGGGTTTGAGCTTCTAGGTCTCAAGTGGTTGCCCCGTCTCACTCGGCGTCAGGCAAAAGAAGTAACCCCTTTTGAGGTTGGAGATGCTTCTTGGCAGAGGAGCCTTGATACACTGATGTCTAATCCAGTCCTTGTGTGTGCGTTACGGCGGGTCAATGCCTTCCAAGTCCTTGAAGATGCATTAAAGAGATTAACACAGTGCAGGGAGGAGCTAAGCGAAAGTGACAGTGCTCTGCAGAGAGTAATGGCCTTGACCCCAGAGGTAGCATTCAGACAAGCCATCCTTTTCTTCACAGAGAAGGATCTGGTAGCTGGTAAGCCATGCTTTTGTTGTTTACACTGTTCTTAGATACAGGCTGTATGGGAACTTATTGAACTTGGATGAATAAATCCTTTTCTAAGTTTTTTTTTTCTAAGGCACAGGAAGACTTAATTATTTGGGTTTAAATTATTCACTTGGCTATATAATCAGGGATATTAAATCTGCAGGAGTCAAGCGAGGTCATCTGCAGGTTGGCCTGTTGATATAACACATGGCCTGGTTCCCTTTCTGAAGGTTTCTGGGTACTCAAATGCTTAACAGACATCACAGGAGTTACCAGGACCAGTAAATAATATTCTTTCTGTGTATAAGAGGCCGTGATCCGTCCCATCTATGTGTGGGCATGTCATTGTCATGCTTGACTTCTTCAGTCTAGATGCCCCAAGCTTGCCCTATACTCAGGGAGATGAAGGTACTTCCAATCTACAAGAGCTGAAGCAAGCAGATTTTCTTGAACTTCTTTTTATGCTGGAACAGAGTGAACAGTTCATGAGGAATGGAGACCTCTGTTGTCAAGACTTCTCAGACTTCAATGATATATGCTAGCATTGATCTTTCAGCACTGAAAACCTGCTTGTTTCCTGCTGTACCAAGAAATGTGTAGCCCACACCCTTTAAATCATTGTGCAGACTGAGATATTATTCATACTGGATACTTTTGACCAGCAGTGCATGAGCCCCCACTGTTTTCTTCTGAAGTGGAATACATTGGATGTCACCTAAGCTCTTGGGGATGCTTCACTCCTTACCCCCAAGATAAATAGTTCTGAACCTGATGATTTCTGATTGTTCAGACACATAAATAAATGAAGATTGTGATAACACCACATATCAACTGAGAAGGAATGGTGGAGTTCCACAAATGCATTCATGCTTTGTAATTTATAGTTCTTCTCCTATCTTTTTCTGAGGAAGAAAGGTCCTTTGTTGTCAAGACAAAGTTAGATGCTTGTGTCAAACACACTGTGCTTGTGCAGTGCAGAATAACAAACTGGCTTTGCTGAGTAGAAAGAAGAAAATGTGGTGGTGTCAGGAAAAAATCACTCATTCTAGTATCACAAAAGTCAGATCTGACAGTGAACTATGTGGGTGTTTTGTGTGAGTTTGGAGAGCAGAAAGAGGAAGCCTTCAAAACAGGGTGCAACAGACATCCCAAATTACTGCATAAAACTATAGGACTGCGTGTACTGCTATCCTTCACTGACGTTGTCTTGACACCAGAAGGCAGGATAAGAGATCCAGAACTGTGAGATTGATTTACTGAGGGGCAGTAACAATCACAATATCACCTTTCCCACCACGACACAGCTGTGTCCTCTCACTATGACTTTAGCACTCTGCACTATCACTTCTATAAGGTCACTGCATCTTTCCTCCTGTCTATGTTGTTGTGGGAGGAGTGGAAGGGTCTTTGTGCTAGAGAACAGCTCTTCAGCATTTTGTAGCAGCTGGAAGGTCTGCCATTTCCCATGCTAAACAAGACTACTTTCCTTAGTCCCCACCTCCCGAACAGTAAAGATTCTTCATCAGTGAATCCACAAAATCACATCTTCCTTTTACAGATCCAGAACACCGTCCTACTGCCAAATACCTGCCACCACCTGGCAGGACATCCAGGGCTGGAGGTAAGGTCAGACGTGAGCACCAGTTCCTTCTTCAATAACAAAAAAAATACTATTTTATACTCTTAAAATAGATGGAAGAAACAATATAACTCCAAGCCCTCTGTCAGAGTTGTCAAAACGGAATGGTGAAGCTTTGGTTAGACATCATTATCCTGGGCAATTAGGAAGTAAAGGTTGGATAACCCTGCTTTTGGTACTGGGGGTGGAAGTACTGCTGCAGAATCACCTCTATTCTGCAGTTCTTTGTGTGCCTCAACCACTTACTTGTGGCTGGTGTGGAATGTAGAAGAGAAAATCTCGGCTCTTTAGTAGCACTTTTCAGCTGTCAGCAGAAAGGATAGTGGGAGCCTATAGAGGGGTGCTGGTCTTCATTCCCCAATGACTGAGTGACAGAAATCAGAGCAGAACACACATTTCCTAAGCCTCAGTCAGGAGCTCTGCTCTCTGCACAACAGTGCCACCAAACCAGCAGGCGCTTCACAGATATTGGTTCTTCCAGATCACTCCACTGCTGAAGAGAATAAGTGATACTGTGAAGATGTGAGTTAGAAGTTACAAAGCAAGGACCTCAGAGCTGCTTTCACCTTATATATTTTCTCTTAACATTTCCAGCAACATAGAATGCACCTTTTGAAAGAAAAAAAGTCTCATTAAAAGAAAAGAAAAACTTACCTTCCAGATAAGTTGCTCTGGGAAACAGAAATACATGGATTCCAGACAGTAATAAATACGAAGGAATGGTGATTGCTTTGTTTTGGCAAGCAAATTTTGTTTTTTCTACTATCTACCTTGCACATCTCACTGGTTAAATTTGCCAGTAAGGATCAATGGGAAGAGAAGTCCAGGATTCACAATTCTCAATTCCCACATGCCTTACGTTTCCCTCACCTCTTTGGGTCACTTGCAGGTTTATCATTAGACTGAAGGAAACATTTTTATGTGGGCTTTAGTTATGGCTCACTTACACCTGACTCCTTTCACGCTGCTTTGCTCTCATGAGGAACCTCTGAAGTCGATCATTCCTGTCTAGGGAACATCAGGTTTCAGATCTCTGCTGCTACCTAAGTGTGTACCAGAACACACAGCCCTTCTTTGCTTCCAAGGGCAATAAGCAGTCCTGGGTTTCATGGCATTTTCCAACTTAATTGTAAAATTCTGGGAGCATGGAGGTGGCTTATAGTCATAAAATGCTATTATTTCTTTATAGGCATAAAATTTCAGGCCGCTCCCTGAAATGGTGACTGAGAAAGAACACAAAGTGTAACCGAGTCACCGTAATTCGGTCCTTGCAGTCCTTTTCAGTGCATGCAATTGGGGTCTCTGAAGAGGGGGTAAGCACTACATCTCCCAGGATGTTCCAATACAAATGGGTTCCCACCATGTCTGGAATCAAGCCGTGCATTTCTTGGTATCACATTTTATGATGAGCGTGTCAGAGCAGCGTTAGCTGCGTCATGTAGAGATAGTGGCACTGTTCTCAATTTACTATCCCAGATTGTGCATATATGTACTTACCCACATCTCTCTGCTTCTCTTGCTTAGTGGAAGAGACCCAGAGATGCCACGCAGAATCACTGTTTGCCTACTTGCACGCAGGTGAGAGAAGAGCAAATTGAGAAATGCAGTTGGATTTTGTGAACCTAACTCATGTAGATGTACCAGCCAAAAATAAGTGGAAGGATTATACCAACATTTCTCTTGGGCTTGAATACTGGCAGTGATGCTCATTCTCTTTTCTAAGCATGACAGGAGATCTGGTATTTGCTTCTCTTCAGTTGACACTATTTTAAGCCGTGCTCGTATATGAAATGTTTTATATGAATAGTATATGAATAAATACGGTGCTGTGACTCAGTTTCATCATCAAATCAAAACGCATGTGGATAACTGTGGGGAGAGCTGTGGAGTCATTGGCCGTAGGAAAGGATCTAAAAATATTGTACGTATGTAACAAACACCAGGAAGATTGGGCAAGTCCAGGAGAGCTGCAGAGCAGCCGGAACCAGGGCTGGATGTGTCTGATGGCTGCCAAGCAGGCCTTCCTGGTAGCACACGGTGAGCAGGGGCCGTTCTTTGGTAGGCAGTGGTGTGTTGGTGAATGCTGGCACTTACAGTCACCGGGGAGAGAAAACCACCTCTGGCTAGCAAAGTGTCCCACCTTGGTTTAGGTGCTTGTCTTTGGGCAGACCAAGGTGGCACAGGGGATAAGGAGATCCCCTCCTGAGGTGTCTCAAGTAGCATAAATATGCAGCATGCAGTGATTCTCATGCCACAGGAATGAGGAAGCTTGCCCAGAAACACAGCAGATGGTGGGGAAAGCAGCACGAGGGCGATGCGCGTTGATGTGAGCTCCTACAGTTGATATGCGAGCAGCTGAGTGGATCTGAGTGCCTCACTCTGCTTGCAGGCCGTTGCTATGGCATTTACATCTTTCCGTTCAAGAAATACGTGGAAATGAAACCATCAGTTCTTCAATAGGAGGCCTTTGTGTAGGATAAGGGTTGAGTTTTCATGCCAGATGCGGTCAGTATCCTGGCTTTTTATTTTTGATCCCCTATTTCTCTGTCACTGAATCGCCAACATGCTTCTTGCTAATTGAAAATATCCGTAAGCACCAAATTTCATGCAGCGCTGTTGATGCTTCATTGCATCAACATCTGTATAATTAGTAATGGGGTGTACAGGAAACATGAAATGGTGCTTTATGTACACAAACAGATCATCATGCATCAGTTTTAACAGCTTGCAGTACTGCTACCTCATGCTTCATCTAATTGACGTGGGTAGGAACTGGCAGTTAGTGGGTCCTGGCTGACTGCTCCCAGCATTGTGGTGGACAGTAAATCTTCAAGGGTGTCATCAAGACAAAACCTTAACTACAGTCCCAATAACGCAGGGGCTTAGATTTAATACAGCACTTCAGATTGGCGAAGCTAATGATTTGAAAATGCTATCGTTTAAAGGTGAGATTAGGTGTTTCCTGCCATTGGAGAGGTTTGGTGCCACCAGACAGTCAAACTATTGTGGTCCATTTTGTTTTGCTTCTGCAGCATATGGCTGGCAGGTCTGCTGGGGACATTTTATCAAAAGCCAAAACTTTTTGCTGAAATTTCAATTTTAGATGACATGATCCCTCTTATAATAAGGGTTACAACATCAGCTGGGATCTGTCACACTGTTAATGCCTCTCTGAAACGTAGCTCTAACAGAGAGGTGCAGAACTCTGAGAGATGAAACCATGAGGAATGAGAACAAAATAACCGCTGAAGGATTTCATCGTGGAATCACTGAATTGCTCAGGTTGGAAAAGACCTTCAGGATCATAAAGTCCAACCTCAACCCACCCGTACTGCCCTAACTAACAGCCCCCCACTGCATCGTGGCCCCGAGCACCACATCCAAACGGATTTTAAACACACTCAAGGATGAAGTGAAGAACGTTTTATCCTGCTTAAAGCGTTCACACACAGCATGAAGGAAGGAGTCTGGTGCTGCAGACCTGCCAGGTAGAACTTTTGGATTTGTTGAGCAGGCTTCCTGGAAAAGGTCTACAAGCCCAGACTGCTGTAGATCGTTTATACGTACATATATATATATATACATGCACAGCTTTTTTACAATCTTGTTTAATTCAAATTCCTATGAACTTCATGCCAGTTTTCTTCTATAGGCGCCTGTCCTGGCTCATACACAGAGTTATCTGTTTTGTCTGTGCTTTTAAGAGCAGCTTTGGGTTTCACCAGTGTGCTTTGTTACAGGAGCCCAGATCCTCTGCACGGTGCTGCTGATCAAACCTGGTGCCTGGAGCCATCATCTTGCAAGGATCCTCCGAAAGCTTGACCTAGAAAAATTCACTGTGGTTGGGATGAAACACGTACAGCTGGAGCCAGACATCGCCTTAGGACTCCTTTCTTCTGAAACAAAACAGGTTTGTTATGAACCTGGCCGTTCTGTGGCCGTGTTTAGGGTTAGAATGGGAAAATATGTTTGCTAGTGAGTAATCCATTCCTGAAAGAGCAAAAACTCCCATCCGGGATTTAGTGGTTATTGTTAGAAGTGAGCTATATAGAACAATCAGATCTGTACAATACCAGGCACAAAGCAAGCTGACATGCTGACAGTTTCTTTTATCGTTCGCCATAAAGAAACAGACCTGGTTTCTCTAAAACAAAAGTTCAGAGGATCTGGGAGCTGCAGACCTCCCAGGAACATTAAATTGCTAATTTATAGTGCTCACTCTTAACTGCAGAACAGGAGTCCCCTGTTTCTTCCCTGCAGTCAATCCAGGTAGAGCATCGTTCAGAGTGTGCTGTGCTCTGCCCATGTGCCTCATTCTCCTTCCGTGTGTTTAAATGTGGGAGCTGGGAAACCTTCTTTGTGCTGCCAGGGCATATGTACCTCTAGAGCCAGGTTACATTTTGGTACTACATCACATATGCAGCGGAGGCTTTGTTCCAGAAGCCTGTGTCCAAGAGCCTGTAAGAATGACCTGCAAATAGAGAAAATGGGGTTGCTGTTATTTCTGCTGTCTGATAGACAGTGAGGAGGGATTTAAACCTTGGGGTGTTTAGGGGGGTTTGTCAGCTAAAGATAGACTTGTCTGCTCTTCTGTAGCACTGGGAATTCATTCATCGCCCAACGTGGAAAATACTCATCTGTTATCATCTCAGAATAAAGGTATTGTGGAAGTCAGGAAATGGAAAGCTGAGCATTGCAGAGGAGTTAGATTCCTTTTCTTGAAAAAAACAAAATCCTTGTTAGCTGATTGCTTTCCTGAAGACACTTAACCAGTTAACTTTTATAGAAAGCAAGCCTTTATTATGGATATTGCTCTTGAGTTGGAAGAGTTTAAAGCACACAGTGTAGAAACCATTAATAGATTCTAGAAGAAGACTGGGAACATCTTCAGACAGGGCTCCAACGTCACCATCCATCAGCAAAGATCATTACTTTCTGCATGATAGCAGTGGAATGGGGCAGAAGCACCTGGTTTTAATTATTCACAGATCTCTGCTGAGGGTGGGACAGTGGCCACTAGAATTGCTGAGGAGGTATTTCCAATAAGGTTCTTAATTGCACAACTAAACACAAAAATACTTAGACCATCGTCTGAAACAGAAGGCATTGCACGAAAGCTAAATATCAACCTCAGGGAGAAATGTAGACATCCATAGGATACATTTGAAGGGAGGTTATTTCAGGAAAAAATTCTCTTGTTTTCAGAGTTCCCAAACTGAGTGGAGTGGCTGTTGTGCATTGATTCAGTTTCCTTGGAGAGCTGGTGACTGAGTTTAAGAATTGCAGAGTGTTGGGCTTTTGTCCATGGAAAAAAGCAGGGCTTGAAAGTGCACAAATACTGATGATAGGCTGCTTTTAGCAATGAGGAATGGATGGTAGGAAATGTTTTCTGCTGTATGGAGGCTCCTCCTCATTTTTAGAACATACCCAAAGTCTTTCATCACACAGGGCTGAGCTCCCAAGGTAAGCAGAGAGATGGTGTCAGATGAGGGGTTTATTCACTATAAGCAATGCCAGCATCTCCTTCCTCTTTCAAACGTGTGACTCACCTGCACATTGGCCCATATCCTCAGCAACATGCTGTCAGACATCACTGCTTTTTCAACTGCAATGCTAGCATTTAACTGCTAAGCAGCTTCTGGCCTTTGGCCTACAGTAAGTAATGGGCTGATGAGGTTACCCAATCACAGGAGATGCAGCAATGCTTTTTACCTGAAAGCTAATGATGATGATAATAAAAACAAAGGTCAGCTAAATAGAGCAGACATTGCCTTCTCAGCTTTTACCATGACCCAATAGCATTAAGACTGTGAGAAGCAACTGCTCCAGAGGCAGTTCTGCTATGGAGGTTTTCCTTTCTGCATTTATTCAGCAGATCCCAAACTCACAGCTGTGGCTGCTAGCTAGAAAGTCTGATTGTACAGCAGGGCTGATCTGCTGCCCTTGGATTACCTGCTCTGACTGCCCATAGCAAGTCCCCGGACTCAGTAACATGATGGATTCCCTCCAGCCTTGCCTTGCGAGTCTGATGCTGGAAGCAGAAGAGTTCTGCTGTTTTTAATCCTGTAGTCCTCCGGAGCCAGCGCTCGGCTGGAACTTCCTCTCTGTATGCATCAACAAAATTGCTCACTGAATTCCAGGCAGCTGCACACGTGCCACCTCGCTGCAGCTGCTCGGTTTGAGGCTGGTGCAGAGGCATGGTTTGGCTGGCAGAGCCCTGCCTGGACCTGAGGGTGCAGCACAGGGAGAGAAGTCACCTTGTCTCACTGACACCATTCTAGCCATCAGAAACAACATCATCATTAACCTGAAGCCTGCTCATTTCCCAGGGAAAAGCTGAAAGAAGGGATACAGAGACAGCAGAGATTGTTACATAAACTTAAAGCACTCTGTAGGGTCTGGGGCAAAACAATTTTGTTTGTTGCATTCTTTTTAACAGAAACCACCTCTGAACATTTTCTTTTGCAGGTGTGTGAGGTGGAGTTAGATGAAATGTTGTATCTACAGCTTTGGGAAGTTTGCTTGGAGACGTCATCAGTGTTCTGTGTCTCTCCAGCAGAAGTCCTGATGACGTCTTAGAAAAGTGGATTATGTGCATATATTTTACACTGTCAAAGTTTTCCAAGCCTAAAGGGCTTACTTAGCATTATACAGAACTGAATTAATGTCACACATTTGCAGTATGCTGTGACATGTGGATGTCTGAGCCCTCATCACAGCACAGCTCTGAAACTTCCCTCTGTGTTCCTCCAGCACAGCTGTCCCTGCTCCCCTTTGTCTGTGTTCCTATGGGCTGGGATCTCACAAATATCACAGGTTGTATCAGACCTCTTATCTCAGTAACCAGCTTAAGAATGGGGCATCTCAGATCATTCTGCATTTCCAGATACAGAGGAGGAGATTGGGATTGAGCCAAAGATTTTTCCTTTATAGCCTGCTTACAAAAAAGCAGTTTAGGGGGAATATGAGTGAGAGAAGATTTGGGTCAAAGTCAGTGAATGGCTTCATAGGATAGAAAAACAAAAGATGCCTCAAAGTGTTTTATTTTCATATTTTTGAAAGAAAGGGTGGGATTTTCTTTTGGAAATGTTTTATCTTGAGAATTGCCATTCTCTGGTGCTTTGAAAAGATTAAAAAAGAGAGGAATGAAAACCTTTGGGGAACTGAATGATGCGATTCAGCTGAATCAAGCAAGAGTTTTTCCTCCAGCTTTTAATTTCTTCACCAATGGCTTTAAAAGTAAAAAAACCATAGCTTGGTTTAGCCAGCAAGCTGCAGATGCTGTTGTGTGTATGCACACTGCTGGCTGAGATGCTCTGCATGCTGGCATTGCTGCACTTGGTCACTTGGAGGGCAGGGAGGCAGACCTGGGTGCTTCTGCCACTTCTTTAGGATGAAGGGCTCTGAAAGAGCCTACAGCTGCTACAGTGGATCTCACACTTAATGGAAACATCTGCAAAGAAGCTGGCTCTGCAAGGCTTTGTTCAATGAGAATAGCAGGGTCCTGGACTGCTTTGCTCCTTAGCCGCCTTCTGCCCTGGGCTCTCGCTGTCTTTCTCAATAGTTCTCACTCGTTATGTCCATCCCTGGCCAACAAATCACTCTCTTGTCACTAGTGCAATGAGTGCTAGTGCTTATTAACGCTCATCCTGAATTAAAGATCTCAGCCTGCACAGCTATGTGAGGAATCTCTTTGCTCAGGGTGAACTGACAACCTTTGTAAAAGAAAAAAATGGTAGAGAAATTTGCAATGGAGCACACATTATACCAGGGGGAAAGCCAGGAGTTGAGCTGCTTTCTTTCAGCTCCAGTCCAGTGTCCTGTCCTGAGCATCCTTGTTCAAAGCTCGCTATTTCAGTAGCACTGGTCCCATCTAGTGTATGAAATTCTGCCAGCCAGACTCACAGCACGGTGTGTATTGGGGCAGTGGGGGGCACTGCTTTCATGAAACTGAGAAAGTAAATTCTGCTGTTTGTCTTCTTACCTAAGCAGAAGAACTAAATGTGGTTCCTTATCCTAGAACGTATACATGACCATGATGATATTTCTACTGTCCATCACTTTCCTACCCATATGTCACACTGAAGGTGCTGTGAAAAGGGCATCCCACAGATCAGTGGTTGAGCACTGGGCACTGAACTTCAGAGAGACTTCATTTGTAGCGGGTAAGGACAAATGGCAGCTCCAGCTCTGCTGTCTGTGTTCCAGATGGGAGAACAAGTCACAGCACAAGGCTTCTTTTCCTCTTAGAAACAGGATTTTGTTTCCTTTCTTACTGTGGGGATTTTAGGATATTACTGCAGAAGTTGTGAAAGCTGCTATGGCTAAAATACAAGCTCAGTGCTGAACTTTTCTTCATTCCGTGCATGCCCAGGGTGGGAACTGGGCCTCCCATTTCCTGGTGAATGGCACAGCAGGTACACGAGCTTGGTGGCCATTGCATGTGCTCTGGAAGCTCTGCGTGCAGTGGCCACTAGCATGAATGTTGCAAAGGGAAGAGAAAGCAAGGAATAATGTCAGGTCTGTTTGCTTCAGAGGTGGTTTGAGCCAGAGGGTTGGGATCCATCTACTGCATTTATTGTAATCTGTTCCCTCTCTGCTGTTTCTTTCCAGGATCCTGCTGTTCTAGAAGCTCACTGTACCTACCTTACCTCAGGCACTTCTCTTGTGCTGTGTCTTCAGAGACCAAATGCTGTGAAGAAATTGATCGACATTCTGGGGCCAGAGGACCCTCAAGTAGCCCAAGCACTAAATCCATGCTTCTGGAGGGCTCAGTATGGCATCAGCACTGTCCAAAATGGATTTTATGGTAGGTTTTTGTTTAAGAAAAGTCTGAAGGCTCAGATAAGCTAATGGTAAAAACGTAATGTACTGTTACCCTCCTGCACTGTCAGCACAGATCCAGCCTTGGCAGGCAGTAGTGACCATTATTCCCTAGAAAGTTTTGATTGTGTTTTTGGTGGCTGACCTGAGTACATCTCGTGCTATGAAATATTGCCCCAGAAGATATATCAAAAAGTTATCTTCTCAGAACAGCCCCACATCTGTCTTCCATCAGAACAGATTTCTTTTAATCTCTTCCCCGCGTGGTCATTCTGTGATTTTAGCTTGGTTGTTTTGTACTTATCCCCAAGAACCCATTTGTCTCCATGCTTCTGACTCTCTTCCTGGTAACTATATAACTCGCTAGCCATCTCTCACAGAGGGATAAAAGACTCCAGGATACCAAGTTCCTGTAGTGTCTCAAAACATTAATGGCTGGGTAGAGGAAGGCGATCAAAAATTACTCCCACCAAGGAGAGCAGGTAAACTCAGCTGTTTTCCATTCTGAGAGGCTCTTGCCAGCTGGCACGTCAGCTAGTCAGCATCCTTGATGCTGAACCAGCCACAGTTCCTCCACCAGCAGCAGGAGGAACGAGGATGCTGCCATGATTGGAACGGGAAACAGCTGAGAGTGCAGGTGAAGGATGGGAGAATGAGAAGGACTGCTGAAGAGAACCAAGGATATCATAATGGGGGATCTGGGCTGTTTCGATAAGGAGGAGGAAGGATGTCATTCAGAAATTCATAAGGAATTAAGCGTTATTAATTGACAGCTCATTAGTAGTTTGTTTTTCTCAATATTGTGCTGGATGTAGTTAAAGGAGTATAAAAATAACACGATCAATAATTTCCATAAAAACAGTTGAGCTAGCAGAGACTGGATGCTTTTGGTTTCCAAAAGAACTTTCCTGTCAAGATCCACTGGATTAATTGGTGCTCCCTATTACACTCTGTATTGTACTCCCTCTTTTTGTCCATATGGTGGTCTTCCGAGGAGAACTCACAATCAAGAGCCCACCACATGTAGCTGTGGGAAGAGAATCAACTTCTTGATGTAGAGTTACTTTTTGTCAGATACAATCATAGTCCTTAGGACCAAGACTAAACCGAAGGAGATCTCCCACCACAATTACTCATAGGTTCTCATTTGTGGGAGTGACAGAAGGGCAGGTCTACCTACATAAGAGATGCTCGAGGCTTCTCAGCCAGTACTTTTCCACTATACCCCTGCTTCTTTTGCTCTTAAGATTAATGGATTGTCTTCCTGGGTTGCCTTGAGAATGAGAACTCATCAGTTATGGGTAATATATACCCCAACTTAATATACCCACGCAACACCTGGAGCTTCCCTAGCATAATTCTTCTAAAGATTAGTTTATATCAGCAAGGGAAGCTGACTCTCAGCCTGTCTCTCACTGGGAGGTTACAGAGAGCTGTGTGTTAAGGAAGGCCTCGGATGTTTTCTGAGAGATTCCCTTCAGATCCCTGCTTCCTTCCATGACTGGGCTACGCACAGAACTGAGCTGGTTGGCTCCCACCTGCCTGCAGAGACCAGACTGTGCATTAGCATCCCAGCTCTGCGCGTGGCTCACAAAGCCTTAATTGCACACATTCAAGGAAAACGGTTGCAGCTGTAGCTTATGCACACAGCAACTCAAACCCATGAATCTGATCCAGCTGCTACGCCAAGGAGGAGCCTGTCCTTAAGGACCCTCAATGCCTCGCATCTCCTAGAGTTTGTCCTCCAAAAAGGAAGAAATATTTGTGTCCAAGTTAAGCAGGAAACGTCGTCAGTGCACAAGTGGTCATCTGGGGGACAGTGGAAGAGCTGCTTTCCTCGCAGGGAGTGCCGTGTTTCTTTGGTTTTGCTCCAGCTGAGGAAGGTCTCTAGCCTGTGCCGTTGTGCTGAAGTGCAGCAAACTCCAGCTGTGTTTCCTCTGGAAGGGACTAGAGAAGTTCTGGTCGGATGAAGGCCAGGCTTGGTGATAACAGTCAAACCAAGTAAAGCAGTTCTAATATTCTGAGGCTCAGATGTAGAGGTAACCCTGCATTCCTTCCATCTCTCCGGTGTGTTATGAAATCACTGTGCAGTGCTTTTTCTCGAGCCCAAAGAGCTTCTTATACAGCATTACACCTTGAGAAAAGTAAGAGTAAAACGTTGCTAAGAGTAGCACTGGGAACATTTGTGTCCCCTTTGTAATGGCACCAGTGATTTAAACAGGGAAGGTTTGACACAGAGGTACATAAAGCACACAGCATGACTTATACACCAGTGACATATACAATCTCAGGGCTGTAAACTACTGTTAAGCACTCTGGCTATGTGATCTTAGAATTATGGCTGCCCACGCAGGGCTGAGTGCTCTAGGAGTTGTAAGGCACCATTTTTTTTAAATGCACAGTTTGCAGAAGTGATAATATTTCAGAATAGATTTGCCTTTTGTGTATTTGTATCCCAGCAGTGTGGATCCATGCCGGCACGCTGACAGTCTGTCTGAACTCCGCTTATTTAGAAATAGCTTTTCCTTCTCAAACGTTTTCCACTCACAAACCTCAAAACCTTCCGAGCAGTGGTTTCTAACACTGTAACTTTATGGAGAAATACTCAGCTGCTGAGCTGGAGGGACCTGTAAGTCACTGAGTTCTGTTAATCTATTTCCTCTCATAAGCATTCACCCGAATTTGGGTTGCTGTTAAAGAACTTCTCAGCTGGAAATTTTCATACGCTTTCGATTCTAAATGCAGTCATGCACAGATTGTATCTGTTTGCTCTTGTGCCAGTGCATGTACTGTAAGTAGTTTTCCCTTCTCTGACCTCTTCACCTCGCTGTATTCCTTCTTAGCTTTGTGTTACGTTGGGTTAATCAGGCAGAGGGCTTTAGTTCAGACTCTTCAGATGATTCCCCGCTCCTTCTCTGACCTTCACATTCATTTTTCGTACCTCTTCCAGTCTCAGTCTGCTTTTCAGGACTACAGGTGAACGGTGCAATGCACTGCTGTCAGTAGTGTCTCATACTAATCTTCTTTCTTTTGCTCTGTTGTACAGGAGTCACCAACATGGTAGGGGCTTACATTATTCTAATGAAGTACAGCTGGTTTTAGTAACCCGTAGCTCCGTTCAACACGACTAGCCTGACATGATCCAAGAGCATGGGGAGAACAGGGGGTTAGAGGTGGTGTTTACTGACTCCTTAATGTGATTCCCTTGACTACACTGTTAGGAAATAGAGAGAGCCTTATTTACGTGGAGGACAAGGTGAGTGATAATGGAGCAGAATCAAAATACCAAAAGCGCAATGGAATTATTCTAAATATAATGGTTTTAAATGTTTGCTATTACTATACAGAACAGCTGGCCTTTAAAGCAATTACTTCAGTAAGTTGCACGCCATCAATCTTTCAGGGGGATGAGTGCGAGTCCAGAGAATGTTTAATTCATGCCCTGAAAGAATCTTCTCATTGTATTTATCTCTCAGGCTCCAAATCCTACCAAATATCTGTGCGGGACATGAAGCTGTTTTTCCCAGAAGGTCTGTGCTGCGCCGAGTGTCAGACACTGCAGGAGGAAGAGGTAGGATTCTGCCCTTTTCTGAAGGGTCTCCTGCTGTGTCAGAGCCATGGCTTTGGTCCTGCTAGCCCTTGATTTCCTTCCTCTTACACTTTAGATAATGCTTTCTTGCTGTGTTTCACCGGCTGCCGAGATTTCCTTCTCCTCTGGATGTCCCTGCCACGATGTGCTAACTTTGTATTGACCCAGACAGTCTCAGAGGAAAAGTGCTTTTTCAGATGCATTTGTTCAGTGACCTGTGCTATAAATTCAGGAAGGCTCAGGGCTGTTGCTTTAGAAGCCAAGTTCCTACACTGAGCCAGCATCGCTTTGGAAGCAGGTCATGGGGAACAACACCACCATCACCCATGATAGTTTAGGCACAGCTGACCCACAGGCTGATTGTTACCAGCTTTTCACACGTAGCGTTCAGCAACTGAGATGAAGTGAGACAGCTAATAAAAGGACTCGCTGGCTGCTGAACGTTTCCCATGTGTGCACATGCTCCTGGCGTGCAGCACTGCCCCATGGTGTGAGAAGGGTACTGGCCCACATAACTGAGGTTTGCCCACAAAGGGATGGGATCAAGTAGCAGGCCCCCCTTTGAAGAGCTCCACGATGTGGACATCCTTCCTCTGTGACTCAGTCTAGAATATCAGGACTGCACTGTCCTGGGACGCATGGCTGTGACAATTTGTTCCATGACAGAAGGGAGCTGCTACACACTACTTAGGCACTGGGTAAAGACTTGGGGTCCTTGAGTCTCTGGCCTTGAACAGCTGGGAATGGAGACCTTAGAAAGATGTCTGCATGCAAGATACCACAGTTAGTTAAGTCCCAGTAAGAAAGAATGCGTGCAAAATGTTCTTTTATCTCCAGACAACCAGGTGTTTTCTAGGCTGGTAATTACAGGAGCACACAGCACCAACAAAACCTTCACAGCTTGTCTGAATCAATACTTGAGAAGTGCTGTCCTTCCTGATTAGGTGACAGTGCTCACATGACTTGCCTCTCTCTCTCTCCCCTCCCCTTGCTTCCTGCAGATCTATAACCTGAAATGTGACCCCATAGTCAGTGTGGAAATCAGCAAGCAGCGCAAAATCATAAAAGGTGGAACAGGAGGGAAGCTCAGTTTGCTGGGCTCTGGGCAACCACGCGATCTTGGTAAGGAAATGCATAACTCTTGTTGTAGATTGAGGCTGTTGTTGATTAATTGGATGGCAAGACAAACCATCTGGTGGCAGCAAGATTTGGTATTGACGTCCTTTCAGAAGGGAGCGACAACTCTGAGCTACAACAAACAGCTCTGGTGGAGTCCAGCCAGTTGACTCTTTGCCTGCTGGGCCTTTCTGTCACCACTTCTTTTATGGGTTTAAACATAGGGCTGATGAGAAGTGCTGATCTTGTCACCAGCAGAAGAAAAAGCACTGTCAGCACAGATAACATAAGCAACAGCTGAACTATTACTGTGTGTTTCGCCACAGTGGTTTGCGTGTCCATTCAAAGCTCAGGAGTGACCAAGGCACCGCAGTGATGAGCAACAGGGAGGCCTTTTGTTCTGGGTGTAAATAAGCAGCAGTTTGTGCATGGAGTGCTTTTGGCAGCATGGGATTCCATCTCTTGGGAGCGGGTCTGAGATCTCGTTGGGTTCCCACTAGCTGCTGGATGTCTGCCAGCTGAAAAGAACTTCCAGTTACTGCTGGTCTGAGTTTGTTTTCGAGTCAGAACTTCAGCAGCAGGCCTGTCAGCTCCCTCAGATGTTGGTAGTTTCTCTGGTTCTTTTCTGCTGACTGTTCTTGATAGGTGTGAATACGATGCAGGTTGTGATGCTCTGCCTTTTATTGCCAGGAGATGTAACTCTTATATAGATGCTTCCGTGTTGGGATCCTGTGGGCTGATCCCAAGCCTTTATACCAAAGTGGTGACCAGGCAAAGTATCCCTGTGGTACTTACAGGGAGCAAAAGTGTCTGGAATTGGGTCCTCTGAAGGAGGAATTATCAGTAGGTTCTTTCCATTGCCTTCTGTTGGCTCTGGGCTGTGCCCTGCACATACTTCATGATCCTAGCAAATGATCCTCACCTGAGTAAGGCCATATCTCCTCCTTTTCTTGTGCTCCACACTGATACATCAGAGGTTGGCTGTGTGAAGGTTTAAGACTAAACTGTTGGCTGGGCTGAGGTCTATCCTGCAACATTTCTGCCATTCCTAAGCCACTGTATGAACCCTGAAACAAGAGTAATAACAACACTGCAGAGCTGCTTGTGGAAATAGCGTGAGTGTTCTGCAGGTTCTGTATGGCTCAATCTGGGAAGCAGATCTCAAAGTATGTGCCCTCAATTTCCTGCTTTGTGAGAATCTCTTTGCTTTGAAGATTTCTGAGCAGAGTGAAAAGGAAACCAGTGTACAGCCCTGATGTGTTTGTGTCTCAGAAAATGTTTTTCAAAGAGCTACTGTCCTGGAAAAGCAAGCACACGTGATGCCTGGGCTGTCAGGCACAATACAGTGAGTGCTGCCAGCAAGCCAGACACATCATTCACTTCGTGGCCTCCTCTTGGACGCTAGAGGTAGCTCTTGCACACGAGGAAACGTCTCCTTTTGGCAAATAATGATCACAAAGCCTAACGGACAGACAGATTTATCGTGGGGAAAATATGAAGTGCATTAAATCTTATGTATGTTGCTGAGAATTACACTTTGGATTATGAAAGCAGCTGGATTAACAGATTTCTTTGCTTGGGAGAAAGTAAGTGGAATAACACCTCCCATAGCAAACCAACAGCTGTCCTTGCCTGACTCCTGGAATGGGGTCACTCCTGCTGCCTGGTGATCTCCAGATACACGCAGGCACACAGCACTTTGGGATGAGCAGCCACACCTGCAAACATCCCAAATGACATAATAATGCCTCTGGTCTCCTGCTTACATGTTTGTGGTGGTGAGGGTTAGCAGTGGAAGGGGGTCGATGTAAAGCATCTGCTGTGTTTTCATCTTTTCCCATCAGATCGGCCGCTGCTCGGTAACCTCTGCCAAACCACCTGCCTCATCCTGCCGGCGATAATCCTCCGGGGCTCAGACCCCCCTTATGTTGAACTGCTCCATCAGCTCACTGGCAAAGGTTTCACGGTGACTGGAGTACGCCTCACTGTGCTGGATGCACCACAGGCTCACTGCATCTCAGAGATACTGAGCAGAGCCAAGTGCGGGGTGGCAGCAAAGGTATGGAGTCTGGATTTACACTTTGCTTCCTTCCCCGTGGAAGAAGAGCCATTTGATGCAGTGCTGTTCTAGCTCTGGGTAAACCAGCTTTAGCACAGCACTGCAGTCTGATCTCTTATGCACTAGTAAGTAATTTGGGCAGTGTGCCTTGCCAGCTTCTCCCTACTTTGTGTTCCTGTATCTCCATTAACTCACAGACACCTGAACTTGACATCGTGATGTGCAAACATAACCTTACTGTGAATGCTACATCCCCTTTAGACATTTTCTTCCATTCACCTCACAGTGCACAGTTGCTGCTGTTATGTATGTTCTGCTGTTGTATCTTGTCTTGTTCTTCCCGATAAATACCGTTTCTATTTCCTTTTCTGTAATCACACTCCATTAATCCTCCTCTACGATGCTAAATAACCCTTCTGCTTTTTGGACGGTGCCCTGGAGTTCTGGGCAGAGATTTCATTTCATCTCTCGTTCCGCTGGTGATGACAACTCGCACTGCAGTCCAGCATGGGGTTTAAGCAAGTGCTCACGGGGTGTAAGCACAAGGTTTGCTTCTGGAGTGAGCCAGTACTTTGCTTTACAGCAGTGCAGCATCACCCCAGAGCTGTTTTTCTCTTTATGCCTGGTATAAGATAAACCCACCATTTCAGGAACCTTGCTAGAGCAAAGCAGTAAGGGGAAATGTGCAAGAAAACATTGTCAGGAGCAGACAGTAATCAACAGGGGGAGCTACTTAAACTGGCAGTAGCAATCAACAAAGGGCTGTCAGAGGCATGCAGCAGCTCCAGTGAAGAAATAAAATCATTTCAGTTTCCAGCCCATCAGTACTTATGAGTGTCTTAGGTGCAACCTATAATAAAGCAGGTAAGATCTTTTCAGGTTGTGATTTTTGAAACTGACAGCATCCCTTTGAAGTACATCTGTACAGAATAGCAATTACATCCAGCATCCAATTAGTCTGAGCACTGCTTTCTCCCCCTGCAGCTCCCCCGAGGATGCCGTCCCTGCGCACATCTCTCCAGGAAGGACAAAGCCCAGGGGTGTGTGGGAAGGAGAGGGCAGCACGGCCCTGCTCCCCTGCTGGCCATGCAAACACGTCCTCCTGTCAGAGATGAATGGCTGTGGGCAGAGCTGGCATGCATCCACCAGGGACTGGCACTGCTGAGCCAAAGGCAAACGTTTACAGCATCTGCTTTCCCTTGCCAGCAGGGCGATGGGCTCCTCCAAGTGAGGAGTGTTTCTGCTGCGGTGTCTCAGGCATTTGCAGTTATGTCCACGTTCCTGCTTCCAGCAGAATTAGTGACTGAGTATCACACCCAAGACCCAGCTTATTTTCACTCTGAGAGGAGAGAGCAGCAATAACAGCATGCCATAGGAAGGGGTGAACCGCCAGTTCAGACGTGATACTCCTTCAGCGTGAGCCTCTGCTGCTCTCCTTCCTCCCCTCACACAGCAGTTATCTCTGCTGTCAGCAGCTCATCAGTGAGGCTTACAGCCTTATCTAAGCAGAAAGCAAACCAAGGCTGTGCTCTTCTCTCTCTCAGTGCTCCCTCTTAATGGATGGTTTGTGCCTGGTGGTAGCAGCAGAGCGAGACAGCGCAGTCATTGGCTTCGACTCCCTGCTGGACAGGTAAGTGAGGTACAATAACACTTTAACAGCACTTTTTCACCACTGCCTCATTTCTCTACCAGAGGGCGTGTGATCCAAACCAGGACAGCTGGCTGCTCTGTAATTCACTTGTGGTTTGGACTCCCACAGTGTTCGGTGCCACTCAAAGGCAACGTGTTCCTCTGAAGGAAGGCACGTCACAGGCACAAGGGATGGTTGGGCTAAGTGGTCCTAGTTATCTTTCCAGCCTCAATGATTCTATGATTGTTTTAAGCCATGTTGTTTTCAACGTACCGACACGTCAGAGTGCTCCTTAGGCTGAAGTCACGCTCAGGATGCTAGATAGTGAGGTGTATGCTTTGTTAAGGGCTCAGAGTGTCTGTAAGGCTTGGCAGCATGGTTCCAAAATGCAGGGAATTCTCTGAGATAAGGGCTCACGTTGGGAATAGACCTGCTGAATCAATACAATTCCTAGGAGAAATATCTTAGCAGATTCTGTTTGCTATGAAGAAAAAAAAATTGTTTAAAATAAACGCCAGAGAGCAAAATCAGAAATCAGCCTCGTGAATAAATCACCAGAAATGCTGGATTTATGAGCCTGATAAAACAAACAGAACTCCTCTACAGGGACTGATTAGTGAAGCAGGCTGATTATCAGGCCAATTAACCCACTGCTTCCCAGAGGGAAAGTTTCCATGCACAGGGGGTGGTATTTAGGAACCAAGAGAGCCGCCAGGAGCCCCAGAGATCACTGCTGAGGAGGTTCTAGGAGAGGGCTGTCAGTGGGGCCAGGAGGCAGCACAGCATCCCCCACCTCTTTGTTTTGCTGTCGGAGTCTGGGTGCGACCTGCAGCACAGCACTTCTGCCTGCTGTAGGTTTACCTTGGCCTGTTGATGTGTGCGTGCATCCTGGAGGCACTCCCACGGGGCAGGAGCTGCTCTGCCATCAGCCCTGCTGCCAGAACTCGTGCAACCATTTGAAACCAGTTCTACAAAAATACTCTTTGTTCTGGATGGTGCTGGTGGAAGGGAGGGGCAGCGGGGTGTTGCGCAGGGCTGGGAGGTGGAGAGGCACAGATCCTTGGCTAGATCAGCTCCAGCCAGCAGTGCCCTGCTCCACCGTTAGCCATCAGATGGCTTAAAGTCAGCTTTACAAACGTCTCTGCGAGCCAACCTGACTGAAGCGGTGTCTCACAAGGACACTTCATGCTAAGGCATCTTCACTGCCTAGTTTATAAACATTTCAGAGTAACATCTGAGGTTAATTGCACTTATGCCTCCATCAGCAGGAGCCACGTGACCTCTCCTGCACTGAATACATCACCACGTATCTGTATCACTGCTGTGGCCCAGGATCCCAGTACCTGCCCTGGCTCTGCTGCGCTGCTGAAGCACTGCAGTGAGGGAGGTTATTTTCCTGCCCTGGGATCCGGTTCACAGCTGAGCCACGTCACTTAGGCACTGTGCCATGGGGAGAGACACGGCCATCCGTGGGGATGTGAGGGCAGAGCAGGGCTGTGATGAGAAGGAATCAGGCGCTGAAGGAACAAAGCAGGCTTGGCTAGTGCAGCTGCTTGTTCTGAGCCTGCTGGAGCTCTGCTGTGCCAGCTCTGTCTGTGGCACGTGAAGAGGACACTCGGAGGATGCGCCGTGAGGAGCAGTTCCTTAAGGGCAGCTGCAGGCTCTCGTAACTGTGTGGTGGTGTTCAGCAGCAGCAGCACCCACCCTGTGCGCTCTGCCCATTCTCTGGGTGTCTGTGAAGGGCTTCTTTCCGCACCAAAGTGCAGGAAGAACACAGGAGGGGACAGCTTACACAGGTGGGGGCACAAAAGCAGTCTGTGAGCTTGGTTGACTGCAAAGAGCGGAGCCAGAGTGAGATGTAGGAGGATGCCAAGGGCAATTTGCAGAGCAGTGGAGTCAGGTGTTTGGAAGAGGTGAGGGGAAGGGAACCACAGCCTTGGAACAGTGGGACCAGGGCAGATCCTGGGGGAGGAAGTGACACAATCCTACCTACAGACAAGGAAAACAGATGGGAGAGTTGCCTTTCTAGTTCTGCCAGCACTCAGATGCCTAGGTCTCCATTAGAAAGCATTTGAATTTCCCCTGTCATAACTTGTTTTTAAAGCCAGATTTCCTAGCTGCAGGGTGGCAGAGGGAAGAATTTACAAGCAGGCTCAAAGCAACAACTTGGAGAAAGGCTCTGCTTGGTGTGCGTGGCAAACCACATGTAGTCACCTTAATAAGAGATGCTGTTTTATAGTGACCACAGTAGAAATTACTCCTTTGTGGTTGTCTGAGCTCTCATAAAGCACTTCCAGGTGCTGGTAAGATTGCTGGGACCCATCTGTGTTGTGTAGGGTCCCCAGGAATTCAGCTGGCTTGTGTTGTGCTGAGCTCCATCAGCAATGCTGGCCTGAAGCACACCCAAACCCTGGCTGCAGGGGAAGAAAATCAGAGTGCAGGCAATCAGAGCCAGCTCCAAGTGCAGAGGAACTTAGCTGGATGTTGTGCTGTCTGCTGAAACGTTCTTACCAAGTGTTAATTGCTGTTAGCAGGGAGCGATGTTATCCCTATAGGAGGCTCGTCTCTGGGAGGCTTTGGAGGGAAAGGAGGTTTAGAAATCAAAAGAGGAACGTGCAGGATGTGAAATCCTGGGGCTGATGGAAACCACTGGAGGGAAAACTGTTGCCGAGTGCAGGAGCTGGGTGTGGGGGCAGGGAGCTGGAAGCACTTCCAGGGGCTGAAGGCTGTGCCCGTGCATGGGGTTGGCTAGGAAAGCAATTTTGAGCTTTGTGTCGTGCCTTGAGATGTCTCTAATATGTCTTGTGGTCAATTCATGTGATTTAAAGGGGACCAAAGCACGAGGTGAGCAGTGCAGTCCGCCCTGCTGTGAGGGGCAGCACGGGAAGCCTTCAGTGCCTGGGAAAACACATTGGTGGTCTTTGGTGAGCAAAAGGCCCTTGCACAGACCTGGCATATCTGGATGTGTGCGTATTCCCACTGCCCCACAGACCCCATTATGCAACGGGTCATTACTGTTTGTTTGGAGGCTTATATTTTAAGAATCCAAATCCATTTATACAAAGCTTTGTAAAACCCAGGATTTAGCTGTGTAAAGAAGTTCAGTAACAGATGCACGCGGCCAGAGCTGCTGGCACTGAGCGTAGCCCTGCCTAAAGCTGGGTCATCAGCAGTTTCAACAGCTTAGATGGCAAAATAACTCTGCCTTCCCTTTGTCTTTACCCCCAGTGTGCGTTGGCAGAAGCAGTCGGTGCTGGACGTGGCGCAGCATCTCCTCTATCCTCAAAATGAGAAACAGGCAAGTAGAGATGGTTATGGAATAGATGGACCTTTTGTGTCCCTGTGGTGAATGAAGCTTATCCAGAGGGGTCGGATTTTAAAAGAAAATGTCAGTTGGGTTGTGTGGCTCTGGAGGAGCAGCCCAGCTGGCAGAGGAGCAGAGCTCAGACTGAGCCATTCCTGGGGCAGTGCAGGCTGCAGGGCTTCTCCCTGGGGCTGCAGGAAGCACAGCAGTGAGCCCTGGATCTCTTCAAAGGACCCTTTTGCTCCCAGGTCCACAGTGGGTTTGGAAATCACAGAGCCAGGTCTGTGCACCTGGGAATGGCTGCAGCTCAAAAGATGTCCCTAGAAACTGTGTTTGATCCTCTGATCTCTTGCTAACGAGTTTATGAAATGTCAGCCAGGCTTTCCAGGTTACAGCTAATGAGCAACACCATGATATCAGGCAAAGTTCAGAGGGTTAAGTGAGCACAGATTGCAGATCCTCACGGTCTGAGTGGTGTTCACTGGTGGAGCCACGCCATGGGAGAGAAAAGGAACTTCATACTGACTCCCAGTGTGATCTGGGAATAGGAAATAGGATGAGAATTCAGATTTCCAGATGGAGACTGTTACAGCTGTACCTGGGAGAGCTTCTCCCTGCATGCAGCTGGGGATGGGGCCGTGGGGTGGGACCTACCACCATTAGAGGGGCAGAAGAGAGGAGGTAACACCCCGTGGGGGAATCACAGAACCATAGGACAGCTTGGGTGGGAAGGGGTCTGCAGGGAGTTTCTTTGCAATGCACAAAATTCACAGCTCTCCTTTTCCTTCTTGTCTCCTCAGGCTGAAGAGCTGCTCTGTTGTCTTTTTGACTCCCTGACATCTGACAGCACCTTCCGCATTGAATCCCAGAGCTGCTAGCTGCTGGTCACAGCCCCCAGGTAGCCCGTGGGCCAGTGATATTGCAGGGGGTGTCTGTGCAGGTGGGCACAAAGCTGCTTCCAGCCTCCAGGAGCACCAGCTCCTGTTTGTCATTATAATAAATTCTGAAGCATCCTGTTAGATGAATGAGCGTGGTGAAGGATCAGCACCCAGAAACAAATCCTCCTGAACTGCAGCATAATTTCTAATGGAGTGCATTCATGATCTGCTTGTGTTCACGGAGGATTCATCAGACTGGGGTAAAAATCAGGAGGTAAACACGGGGGCAGAGGTTCTCTGCTGTCTCACTCTCAAGCATATCGAGACTCCATGTTCTGATGCTACCGTGGCCTTTGAACTGAAGACAGAACCCCAGTAAATGGCATGCAGATAAAAGGAGGGAGATGGGCTCCCCTGGGAGCTGAGCGTTGAGGGAGGCTGGAAGCTGGGCAGCCCAGCATTCACGTGTCCCTGCTCCCTGGCCCTGCTGCCAGCTGTGTGCCCACCCAGCTGCCCAGGCTGCCTGCTGGGGCCGTGCATCCCCTGGAGAGAAGCTGTGGGCTCTGTGTGCCAGCTGTCCCCATCCCTTGGGGTCCCAGGAGCTGCTGTGACCCAAGGCCTGTGCAGCTCCTGCAGCTCAGTAAGTAGGTCATCTTGCTGCACTCCAGCGCGCTTCTGTCGTGCCTGCGAGCCACACACGGCTTTGAAACAAATGAGAATGAAAAGGATGCTGAGGTGAACCCCATCTGCAAACACAGTGGGAGCCGTGCCTCAGTTTCCCAGTTGTGAAACTGCCTCACGCCTCGGGCACCACAACAGAAATGGGGCAGCACCGGGTGCTTTGGGAGCATCCTCAGTCCTTATTGTAACGCCCGGCTAATGAGGCTCGGCAGGATGCACAGAGCAGGGAAAACGTCATCCTCCAGTATTTCCAAAATGCCAGCATCCCATCGTGGGCTCAGCAGCTGTTCCTGAGCACCCTTCTGCTCTCTGGAGAGCTGCAGGGCCCCATCCTGCTGCCCAGTGCCACAAACAGCTGCAGCTCAGCCGTCCTTCCTGCAAACTGCCCCAGGGCCACCAGGATTTGCTCCTCAGAGCTGAGGAGTGAATTAAGGATGGCTGGAATGAGGAGAAAGGCAGATCCGATTGGAGATTGCCAGCTTTGCAGCTGGCTCCTACTTGCAAACAATCCATTTAGCTTATGAAAGCAAGGAATTGAGTACAAAACCCCCTAGATTGTTTGCTTCCTAGAGAAAGAAAAGAAAAGAAATGGAATTTAGATTAAAAATTATGCAGAATAGCATTAATTCCCCACCCTCCCGTGCCTCCCCTCTAGCTGGAAAACCAGAGCTCATCAGAATTTGGCATTGTTCCGCTGCCAGCATGGAGCTGCCTCAATGGAGGAGATAACATACAGGAGGTGGCACTCGCTGTTAACTCCTTCGGGCCCTGCAGGGCCGTGTCCCCTCCCCACCCTGCACCGGCTGTGGGGAAGCAGAGCTCTCACCTTGTCTCCTTCCATCCTATCTATTCCCACAAAGCTGATGTCCCCGTGCACCAGGCCTGGTTTGTGGCTTTAGGTGATGCCCAGTGCCATCGTGAGTGCAAACAACAAGGAAGAACTCGAAATTAATGAGCAACCGGAGTGCAGTGTTCAGATGTTCCACTTTCACGTCCCCTCTCCACCGTAACTCAGCTGAATGAAGCAGCTCTGCAAGCAGGTGCCACCTGGCATTGAAACACTGAATGTGGGGATTGGATTTGGGCTGGAATGATGTTGGGTTTTTTTTGTAATATTTACATTATTCACCCTCCAGAAAGCAGTTCCTGCCCCAGCCCCTCCCAGAGCTCAGAGGGAGCAGAGCAGAGCTCCCTGCCCAGCTCTGACCCTGCAGCACAGCTGTGCTGTCGCTCTGCTGCTTGCAGCAGCATCTGCACAGTTTTAGGTCATCCTTGCTGCCCAATTCACGTTGCACTGCCAGCAGAGGTGAAGGAGCACACGCTGGCCCTGGAGGCACACGCTGGCCACGGCATTGCCTTCGCCTGCCGGCTACATCCATCCATCCGGGGGCACTGGAGGATGCAGGACTCCACGGGGACGTGGCACGGCACAGAACTGCAGCATCCTGGAGTTGCCGCCTCCCCCACCGACCCAGGCTGAGGCCACGGGGCGGGCAGCAGCCCCTCTTCATCTCATCTCCCCGCGGCATCGCTGCAGCAGGAGCTGCTGGTTAATTGGCACTTGGCAATTCCCCGTGGACAGGGACTGGAGGAGCACAAAGGGCGATTTGTCTGCAGGGCTGCGAGCTTTGATAAAGCAGAGCTGGGGATGACTCAGATGTGGGTAATTAAAGCAGTTGAGGCTCTGGTAGAGATATCGGCTCTGAGCTCCTTCAGCTGCCGGAACTGGGGCGCACCGAGCTGGCAGGGCCACGAGCCGATGGCACCGCTGCTCCCTGAGCCTGAGCGCAGCCCAGCACCCTGCTGGGCACACGGATGGGGCTGGGGGCTGCGTCCTGTGCTGCTCTGTGTGCTGCTGCTCCGGGCTGAGCTGCTGTAGCTGGCAGACTTCGCTGGGTGGGCAGCAGGAAGCGCAGGCCCTCCATCCTTCCTCCATCCTGGCTGCACAGCGGTGCTTGTCCTGCACAGCCCATCAGCCGACACCTAGCTGTCTTGAAGCCTGTCTGGATGTGAGGTGCAGCCCATGGACCCAACCTGGCCTCGTCTCTCCCATTCCTGCCTCGTGCCCGGCGTGGCACTGCTGCACTCCACTCTGTGCTCCTGGGAAAGGCTCCTTGGGAGCCCCTGGGTTGTGGCACAGCCAGGCCGGTCCCACAGGGCTGTGGGAGCTGCACCTCTCCAGCCCAGAGGAGCTGGAAGGAGGGAATGCGAGGAACACAGCTCACTGTTAGCCAGCGCTGGGAGCTGGGCAGCCGGGCAGGTGCAAGGCTGGAGGTGATGGATGCTTCCGTGAGGGGAGTGCTGATGGGCAGCAGGAAGAAGCTCTGTGTGAGGAGGTGCAGCCCCAGGAGAGAGAGCTGAGCTGTGTGTGTATGTGAGCACCCATCCCTGGAGGTGTTTGGGGCTGCGGTGCCTGCTCTGCATCCATCCCTGCTCCATTCCCTTCTCCCTGACTGGAGCTCCACCTATCCATCTGTCCATCTGTCTGCCTGTCCATCCACCTGTCCGTCCATCCATCCATCCATCGACCTGTCTGACATCCGTCCCACCCTCCAGCAGGAGCTGCCTCCTCCAGCACGGGCTCTGCTCTCCCTCAGAGCTGCTCTCCCCCCTCAGCACTCAGCCCTGGGATCCAGGTGGGTGCAGAGGAGCCCCTGCCAGCAGTGGGACGCAGTGCTGCCCGTGCCCCGGCCTTTGCCAATGAGCTGTGGGCCGTGAGGCTGGCCCAAATGCTTGCACCCGTGCTGGACTACGGGGTGCATTTGGAAGCTGAGCAGAGGGGCTGTGCAGCCCTCCCACCTCACCTGTGAGCTTTTGTGCCAAAGTCTCTTTCCATGGCGGTACCTCCAGGGCTGCAAACAATGAACATCCACCTGAAGCGTGCTCTAGAGGTGTTCTGGATGGCTGTAAGCCCCCGAGGTGTTACAGATGGTGTAGGCTGCTTATTAAAGCCCCCATCCCTTCCCATTACATCTCCCATCCCATCCCATCCTGCAGCATCTCCCATCCCTGCCGACATCTCCCAGCTTCGCCAAGGCTGGGATGCAGCTGTTGCCATGGCAACATGGGAGGCCGATGAAGCTGGAGCCCACATTTGAGATGTTTTGGGCTGCGGGGGGGGGGGCTGTGCTGGAGGTGTTCCCTCATCCCCTCATGCCTGCCCTGGGCCTCATTGCACCCTGAAACTTGTCAACCCCCCCAAAAAAAGCCCACTGACAAAGCTCCAATTTTTTTTCAGCCCAAGAATGCTGTTGGAAAAAAAAAAATGTCAATTTTCTACTTTTTTAAGAGGAAAATTTTCAAAACTCATATAATTGCAGCCAGGTTAGGGGTGCCAGCAGCCTCCTGTGTGCCTCTGCCCTGCACCAAAATCCGCCTGAGCCCAAAGGGAGCACCAACGGAGCCTGGGGATGTTCATAGGGCTGCTTCCACTGGGCATGGAGGTGGGGTGGAATGGGATGGAGTGGGATGGGATTGGAGGGATGGGGTGGGGTGGGATGGGATGGGATGGGATGGGATGGGATGAGATTG